TCCTGTTCTAGTTGTTTGCTTAGTTTTTGTTTAAGTGTGGTTGTTAATATTTGTGAGTTTGCTGTCATTTTACCATACATATTTTTATCTTCTTTTTATTAGATAAGTCCCTTTAACATTTCATATAATAAGGGCTTAGTGATGATGAAGTCCTTAAACTTGACCTTACCTGGGAAGCACTTTATCTGCCCTTCCATTCTAAATGGAAGCTTTTCTGGATAGAGCAATCTTGGGTGTGGGTCCTTGCCCTTCATGACTTGGAATACTTCTTTCCAGCCCCTCCTTGCCTGTATGGTCTCTTTTAAGAAGTCAGCTGACAGTCTTATGGGCACTCCTATATAGGTGACTCCTTTTCTCTTGATGCTTTTAAGATTCTCTCCTTATCTTTCATCTTGGGTAATGCAATCATGATGTGCCTTGGTGTGTTCCTCCTAGGGTCCAACCTCTTTGGGGCTCTGAGCTTCCTGGACTTCCTGGAGGTTCCTAAGTCTCTCCTCGTTTTTTGAGTTCTTGTTTCTTCATTCTGTTCTGATTGGATGTTTCTTTCTTCCTTCTGGTCCACTCCATTGATTTGAGTCCCAGTTTCCTTCCTGTCACTGTTGGCTCCCTGCACATTTTCTTTTATTTCACTTAGCATAGCCTTCATTTTTTTAAATCTAATTTGGGAACAAATCCAGTCAATTCTGTGAGTGTCCCAGTCACCTGTGCATCTGATAGTTGGTTAACTCTTCATCACTTAGTTGTACTTTTTCTGGAGCTTTGATCTGTTCTTTCATTTGGGGCTTTTTTTTTTGGCTTGGCGCACCTGTTATGTAGTGAGGGTCGTAACCTTAGATGTTCACCTGGGCTGGGCAACCCAGTGGCTTGATTGAGAGGCTGTATGTCGGGTAGGGGTACGAGTGGGAACAATGGCACTTGCTCTGCTCTTTGCTGGTTATCAGACACTTCCCCCAGTACCCACAGCAAATTGGGCCCTTCTGGTGCCGATTCCCAGCTGGGTGGGCTTGTGTACGTCCTGGGACCCTGTGGGTCTCTCCAACAGATTCTCCTGTCAGGCTGGAAGTTTCTCCCGTCACCTCATCTCGCACAAGTGTATTCCATTGGTGTTTTGAGGCTTTATTTCCTGATGTGGGACCCTAACTTGCGTGGTCTGTTTTACTCCCCAGTTTTGCCTGGTTTACCCGTGTATAAAAGTGGGACTGCCTGGTCCCCCAGCTGCCTAGTGCGCCATTCCCCTCCACAGTCCACTGCCTCACTGGGTCCACCTGCTGCTGTGTTGCCATGCCTGGGGTCTGCCATCCGCCACTTTGTTGGGAGCACTCTCTTCCCAGCCCTACTCTTTCCCTCCTACCAGTCTGGATGAATGTTTCTTCTTTAACTGCTTGGTTGTTGGACTTCCATAGAATTCAATTTTCTCTCAGTGGTGGTTGACTTTTTGTTTGTAAATTGTTGTTGTCCTTATTTTGGTTGTGCGAGGAGGCACAGTTTGTCTACCTACACCTCCATCTTGGCTGGAAGTCCCTTTTTCATGTTTTGAGTGTTTTTTTCCTGCTGTGTCTTATCTTGCTGATTCAGTACTCCGCTTCATCTAACCTGCTTTTGATTACTTGCACTGTGCATTCAATTCAGAAATTGTATTCTTTATTTCCCCTTGTTTGTTGTTGAGAGTTTCTATATCCTTTTTCATGTCGATATAGTTTGCAGTGAGTTCACTGTAGTTGTTCTGTGGTTTTTGGTAATTCTCAGTGAGCTCAATATTTGATAGTTAAGTTGCCTCTATTTCATCTAGCATTCTTTCGGAGGCTTCCTCCTTTCCTTTCATTTGGAGATTGTTTCTTTGTCTTCCCATTGTTCTTGAGACTCTTCTTGTTAGCCTCTGCTTCTTAAATTCATCTATTCTGACTCCCTGGGTTTATATAGTCTGTGAAATTCTATGGTAGAAGACCTGTGAGATTCAGTAGTGCAGTTTTCTTCATCTCCTGAACTTGCTGCTCTTGGGCTGTCATTTATGTTGGCTCTCTGTATGTCTTTGGGTTTTGATTGTTGTTTGGTCTTTCTATGGTGGGTCCTTCCCTCCAGCTTGTTGACTGAGGGTCACTCCGTCCACCACATCTTATATGCTGTTGTGCAGGTTGAGGCAGGTTCTCTCTCTCTGAGATTATGAGGCTTCTCTGTTGCTTTTGTTCACTTATTTGTTCTGGGTAATTTCTCTACCCTTTATTTGTAGTTTCAGATTGGTCCTGGGTGAAGGTTAGTGTGGCTTCCACTCACTCCTCCACCATCTTTATTATCTGTTGGTGGTTTCCTTTTGTGTGTTTTCTCTTCTAGAAGATATGTTGGTGTTCACAGCTTCCCACCTACTTTTTTATGTAATCATTTGGAGTGGGAAGGCAAAAATAAGGCAGCAGACAGTGTATTCTGTGAGATTTGAAGTACCAACACACATAGAAGAGACAGATCCTTTGGATAGGTATAGTATTAAGTCTGATATTTTACCCAACTAGCCTTTTTTTGTAAAGGGTGGAAAAGAGATAAGGCTCTTGTTAGAGTGACGAAGGCTTGTGAACTGAGTCCAGAAAACTGAGGGCTTGTGGAAGGTCAGATTATGAGATACAGTGGGAGTAAAGGATAGGAAGTAGGCATAGTATGCGAGAGAATAGTTACTGTAACCACAACAGTAATAAAGTTCTGGAAGATAATGAAATGGGCTACGATCCCAGAGGGATGCTGTGTAGTGTTTACAGTTATGTCAAACAACAACGATATACAATAATAATGAAACAACAATAATATGACAGGAACTATATGATTCGAATAACAAAAATAGGAAGTACCTGACCTAGAGTAGTGTGGTTTTGGAACACAAGTAAAGTGAAAGAAGGAAAATTAAAATACAGTATTAAAGAGAGAACAAGGAAAACCAGTCAAACAATGTAATTAAACAAACAAATAAAATGAAGAAAGCTAAACAAGAGAAATTAAAAAATGCTAATAAGATAAAAGAAGTAGAAATAATGAAAAAATAATAATACAGATAAACAATAACATGTAAGTTCTCTGGAACAGCAAAGTGAAATTGTCTCAGTTTCTCAAATGTTAGGATTAGCCTTGTGTTTCTTCTTTGGCTCTGTTTCTAGATCCCTCATAGCTCCATGTCCTTCTTTTTCCCTTGGGGCAAAAAAAAGGAAAAAGAATGCTTCCTGCTGACTTTAAACCTACCAGGCGAGTTCTGCTGGTCTTCCTGGATATCACAGGCTGAGAGGGGTTGGGCTTCACTTTTCTCCCTTCCTATAGTTTTTCGAGGATGGGGGGCCAGGTCTGGTCGCAATTTTCACAGTTTCTTAGCCTCCAGCGCAGGTCCTCCATTCTCTGCTGTGTCCCTGACGCCTATATACCAGGATGGCATCTTCAATCCACCAGTTGTGCCATCCTTGAGGTGCACCAATTAGGGGCAACTCACACTCCACTTTTGCCCTCTTTGCCATCCTAGGTGCTAGGCACTCTCATAGTCTCTTCAGGGTGGTTCAGTTCCCCCACTGAGTTAAGTCTTTCTGGGGACTACTAAGTCCCCTAGCCCTGCTGCTCTCTGCTGGGAGGTGGGTCACCTCCTCCCTTCCTCTTAGCTCCCTGGGCTGCCTGGGCTGCAACAGGGGCAGCTGTGGTTGTGGCGTGGCTTTTGCAGGGGGCAGCCACTGTGGGAGACTTACCTGTTAAACAGCGATCAAAAGCCTTTTTTGAATAAAATCCTCCTGTTCAAGCTGGTCACTTAACAAGCGCCCAGCCTCTCACACAGCCCAACTTTCCAACCAGACCAGAGACTATCTGGGTCAGGGTCCATCACTTCCCATCTCTTGTCTTTTCTCCAGCATCACCCAGCTCCCCAATTTCTCTGCTAATGGCACAGCCAGCATCCACAGTCTCAGTAGGTCATTACTGCCCCTGCGCATCTCCCACTTTGTCTTTATTCACCCGCAGCAGCTTCAGTCATTCAGGTCCATCCTGGTGCTGCTCTGTCCTCCCTGTTTGGCAGGGGAGGGAGTGGTTGATTCGGCTCTTGTCCAAGGATCCTGTTGCAGGCCCAGCAGGTGCCAGGCCAGGGGCTGCAGCAGCCCTGGTCCCCTCACTGGTCCCAGGGACCTTAACATCCCAATGCAATCTTCTTACCATGTGTTTTTCAATGTCCTCTACAATTTTGGCCTCCAATATTCATATATGCTGGGATTCCTTTGGCTGTTCCCCAGATCAGCTAGGTATTCCACCTGTGCACACACCTACCTCGCCGCCATCTTCCAACTCCCTAAGTTAATATTTTTATCTTTTTCAAATAAATACCCAGAAGCAGGATTGCTGGATCAATGTTAGTTCTGTTTTTAACTTTTTGAGGAACCTCTATACCCTTTTCCATAGTGGCTGTACCAATTGACATTCCAACCAACGGTACACAGGTTTTTGTTTTTTTTCTAACATCCTCGTCAATACTTTATATATTTTTGTCCTTATTGATAACAGCCATTCTAATGGGTATGAGATGATATCTCTGTGGTTCTTACTTGCATTTCCCTGATGACTAGTGATGTTGAACACCTTTTTGTGTACTCGGTGGCCATTTAATATCTTCTTTGAAAAATGTCTGTTTAGATCCTCTTCTCATTTTTTAATCAGATTGTTCAGGTTTTTGCTATTGAGTTGTATTAGTTCTTTATATATTTTGTATGTTAGCCCCTTAAATGATTTGCTTCCATTCAGTAGGCAGCCTTTTCATTTTGTTGATTATTTCCTTTGCTATACAGAAGCTTATTAATTTGATGTAGTCCCACTTACTTGTTTTTGCTTTTGGTGTACCCCTGTATTTTTTAACCATGGCAGGATATGAATATACTTTATAATGATACTAACCTTCATTTCAAGTTTGTTCCTATATTCTCAGCAATTATACTGTTTAGGAAATTTAATCAAGTCAGTAATGTCCTTTATTTGCCTGTTTTTAATTTATATAACAGGGTAAAATCCTTTACAAAGTTCGATGGAAAGGATATACATCAGATGATGATACGTGGGAGCCTGAGGTTCATCTTGAGGACTGTAAAGAAGTTCTTCTTGAATTTAGGAAGAAAGTTGTGGATAACAAAGCTAAACCAGTCAAGAAAGATATTCAGGTATCATGTTTTATCTCATACTGTTTTTAGTACAATAAGTTTATAAATTTTACTTACTATAGAGAATGCAGCAAAGAATTTACAAATAATAGTAAAATATATACTACTCTTATTTCCAATTCTATATAGCCAGTTAGTTCTCACAAAATGCTTTCACTGAGTTTTGCAAAACTCTTCTTTCTATAGTCAGCCTGTGGTTGCAGTTCATGAAAAAGTATAATTTAGATGTGTTAATATTTTCCCTTAACCTAAGAGTAAGATAAATATAGGGGGAAAGGCATAATAAACTGTCCATGATGTGAGCACCTTGTTTCTGTATATACCTCAGGAGTATTTTGTGTGCCGTTCACATTACTACTACAGATAAAGTGCAGACTTTTGTATTTATTCTGCATTATTAACATATTTCTTATGTGTGCTTTTTCTGCTAATTAAAATAAAACAATGTTTAGATCATGTTATTAAATGATAAATTGTAATTCATTTTAGATTATCCACAGGTCTGATTATCCAGGTTTTTTGTTTTTCTCTTCTTTTTCCAATTTAATTTTTAGCTGCTTTCTTGCTTTTTGTAGCTCTTCCTGATGATAAGGAAGGATAACAAGATTGAGGGAACACATAGAAGTTAAATTTTCTCATCAGCAATTTGGAAAAAGGTTTGATGGTGGGCTAGAGAGGGATAATGTTAAAACTGCCACACAAATTTGGTTTAAGAGTTTTCTTCTTTTGATTTGTCCACTCTTTTATCCTTGATTCTCTTATTCCACAAATAATTGAATTGACTTTATTTATCAATCATGGAAGAAGTTCCTGGTTTATTTTACAATGTAAATTTCATTTATAGCTTCTATTTATAAACTGAACCAATTCTGACTCAACTTCTTGCTTTTGAGTTTTTGTTTTTATAGAAATAATTTTTTTTAAATCCTAGCAGAAGTTCTTGAACTTAGGGCTATATAGTGAAAATTGGTACAAGAAACAGATTCTTATTGAAGTTATTAAGGACTGAATAGTCATCCCTTCTCTCTCTACAATTTGAGTTTTCAACCACATCTTAAAAAATACTTAGTATTTTTTAAAATGATTAAAACAATATTAGGACCCAGTTTTAACAGTGTTTAGTGTTAATAATAATTAATAACAGCAACATCAGAGGCAGATTTTATTTACTGAACACTTGTACTGTGTATGTACAAATTACTAGGTTAGCACTTTATATGGATTCAGATGAGAAACTGAGGCTTAGATAAGAAACTAGCCCAAGTTCACAGGTTAGTAATGATAGAGCCAGGTGACTGCACTCTTAACCACTGTAGTTACCTTTTGGTTTGGGCTGTAGCTTGAAATCCACTTAGAGGAGTGGAATATCAGTGCTTTAAAATTAGGTTTTTGTAGCAGGACCTTTAATAAAAATGGCTTTAAGTTACTAAGCAAAACGTTCAGTATTTTAAAAGTGTTTGCATTTTTGCAAAAATGTTTGCAAAAAGGAAACAACCCCCTTACAAAATGAGTTCAGGTTAAAGGAGAAACTTTTTTCCCCAAATTTTTTTCTATAGTTATACTTCACTTTTCTAGAATGGATGCCTACTCTCTCCTTCCCTACTTCTTTCCCTCAAAACCCACACAAACACAAATGCACATGTTTTAATAAGTGATTTGGTTCATATTCTAAAATTTAAATTTAGACTTTGTGACTGAAGTCTTCTTAAGGTGTATTTCTCAATGTGTCTTGCCTTATTAGCAACACATTGCTGAAACTTCTCCCATGAAGTGTTTTAAAGAAATCTGGCTTTCTCATCCCTTTATTTCCCTTTACCAAGCCTCAGGCGAAACCCAACAGCAACTCTCTATCTTGATTTTAAATGATTTATGATGACTGGTTTGTTTGAGGTATAGTTTAAGCTTAAAAAAATCTTTGTCCTAATTTTAGAAAGATGCTTCTCCACTTTATCATTTTGTAAGTTGTCCTACCTATTTCCAAAGTAATTTTAAATTCAAGACACTACTAACATTTTGAATCTTTTTAAGACTAAAGTCTCAGGTCTGCCTTCTCATGGATTGTTGTTCATAAAGATTCCCGTGTTTACATTGCTAATGACTTTTTGGTCTAATCATTGAGGTGGTATCAGTGAACAAGCATATGGCAAAAATGTATCTGGTTCCTAACCTGCTAGTTTTGCCATTTATAAGCTTCTGTGATACTTTGACTATAGATAGAGAAATAGATTGTTAGTAGGAGAAAACTGCTTTGTTCATCTGTGTTCATACAAGCGACATATATGCTGCCTATGAAAATCGTGGTATTTCCCAGTCCCCAAAGTTTTTGTCTTATGAGGTTTTACCACAGTATCCTCTGTAAGAATATTTGATTTGTTTCTTTTTCTCCTTAATTGTAGGAGCACTACTTGCTTAGAACTTAGAAAGCATATAAGAAGGTACAAGTGTTTCCTGAAAATAACTCAGAAGTGGTTGTTAATGCTATTTACCAGAAAATACACATGATGTAGAAATGGTATTTGTTTATTAAAATATTTTATCATTTAGCATTTGAATAACTTATTATCTTTTTGCTGATTACAAAATTTTTTTAATCCTAATCCGAGGAAGTATTTTTTTGATTTCAGAGAGAGGGGAAGGGACGGGGGGTGGGGCGGAGATAGAGAGATATGAGAGAGAAATGTCTATCAGTTGTCGTCGGTATGCACCCCAACAGGGGGTCAGACCTATAACCTTTTGGTGTATGGGACAATGCTGTAACCAACTCAGCCATCCGGCGAGGGCTTGAGGTACTTAACATTCATGTGCAATGCAGCCCTTCATTTTTAATGGCCTGAAAGTGTACAGATTACATAGTTGCTGGCTTGCCTCACACTTTGATGGCTAATGTTATGACACAGGTCAGCCTCTGCTATCACAGCAACATTGTACTGTTTTTACCTTTTTGAGGTTTTTTTTCCTACCTTTTTAGACGTAGCTTTTTTTTAGTACATATAGAGTATCTTATATGAGCCAGACCTTTAAATGGTCATATTTACACAAAGGCAGGTAAAGTCCAACTTTTATTTTGAGGTACCTTGCAGGTTGTGCACATGTTTTTAAGGGTAGTACCATATACTGAGGATATTGCTTTCTGCTTTTCTTTGAAAATAATTTTTATCAACATATTCTAACCAGCAGACAAATGTGTTTTTATTATGAAATAATCACCTGCATACTTCTCAGCTAAGAAATTAGTTTTGCTTTTAATTTTTTTTATTTTTTAAAAGATTTTTGTTTATCTTTAGAGGGGAAGGAAAGGAGAGAGGGAGAGAAATATCAATGTATGGTTGCCTCTTATGTGTTCCCTGCTGGGAACTGGCCCTCAACTCAGGCATGTGCCCTGAGTGGGAATTGAACCGCTATCCTTTGGTTCACAAGCCAGTGCTGAGTCCACTTAGCTACACCAGCCAGGGCTAATTTTAAAATTTGAGAACAGGTTTTTTGTTTATTTGTTCGATTTAGGGGTAAAGTGTGGCTGTAGAATAATTATTTTATATATATATATATATATATATATATATACACACACACACCCCCTTTTAATGTAAAATGAATTAGAATTTGCACATCCAAATAAACATTATTTTAAATAAGGGTACGTTTTGTGAAGTAAACATTTGTTCCAGTAGTGCCATGGCTCAAAATGGTTTTAAGTTTTTTCTTTTAGAATTGTCTTTATTAGAATGTATAATGTTGTGTAAGAAAACAATTTCTGGTAACACCTCCTTTTTTACTCAAAATAGTTCTCAAAAAAGGTAGTAATGGTTCTAAGAGCGCGAGAGTATACTTCCAGAGGAGACGATCCTGGGCATGTCTGTGTTGTGCATTTCACAAATGTGTCATCAGGCACTCTGTCACTACACTCTCATATACTGTATCACTGAACATCCCCGTAGACCAAGGTGTCACGTAAACACATTGGCGTGACTTGCTGGGTCAGCCCCAGTCTGTGTCTGCTGACTTGCTGTAATTACTGCTAGAGCCCCATTTTACTTTCAGAGTTGTCTTCATTTGGATAATAACTAATAGATTTATATTACTGGTAAGACTATTAAAATGAGTAATAAGGCAGGTTGCAAGTATACTAAAAGTGCTTAGGCTTGTGGCATGTGATTTTAAAATCTTTGTTATTGTTTTATAGCTTTTACTTACTGTTTTTTATTTTTACCCTTACCCAGGGACATTTTTTTCATTGCTTTTAGAGAGAGAGAAGAAAAGGGAGAGAGAGAAACATTGACATGAGAGAGAATGATCGATCAGTTACCTCTCATACTTGCCCATGCCAGGAATCATAAGCACCTGCACCAGGATCGAACCTGCAGCCTAGGTATATGCAGTGACTGGGACTCGAACCTGCAATCCTTTGGTTGCAGGATAGTGCTCCATCCAGCTGAGCCATATCAGCCAGATCTATGGTTATGTTAAAGTGAACACTAATAGATCAGTATTTCTATCATTTAGTAATGTTTTGCTATAGCAGACAATAATGCTATGAGGTAGATGGCAGCAAATCTTTATGCCCTAATTTTAGTGAATCTGGCTAAGGATTCCGGGGCTGCATCACCCAGGGAGCATACCTACCAATTCATCTAAAATACAGCTAACTGATTCTTTCAAATAGAGTATTTTGGTGTCTAAAATCTAACTGCTACATTTATAAACTAGTTAAATCAACCTGTTGTATATTTAAAACCTTCACATTGTAACTCTCTTGGAATAGACTAATGACTAAAGAAAAGTCCTTTTTCAGAGATACTTGGTAAGGAGCCAGCATTCAAGCCTCTCCCAGATGACTGAGGAAGAGTTAGAAGGACCAGGAACTTACAAGTGACCCTGCTACCCTATTGTGTGATAGCTACAGCAGACACCAAATGGGGTGGGAAACACTGCTGGCTGACAGGGGCAAGGCTGAGAGAGTAGGTGTGGTGCAGAATGGCTGTGGCGGCAAGGGGACTGATCTAGTTTCTGTGGAGACTCCATTTTAAAATTGGTGAATAGAAACTCCCCAGAGGACTTTCTTTCTTTGTACAGTTTAGGATTTTCAGAATTTTAGAACTCTTTTAACTTGTTCACCCAATAAAAGGGATAGCACCAGCCTCATTGCTAATCATTTTATGTTCATTCATCTAGAAGTCCAGCTGTAATGTGTGTCCATTACTAGGCACACAAAAAGGTGTGAGGTATGTCTTCACAGAACTAGGGAACAGGGTTGGGGAGGTGTTGAAGCAGGGACACATGTTCTCAGGTAACTGTGTGTGCTGTGGAGACTCAAACAGGAAGGAGCGATCAACTTCTGAGATGAGCAGAAAGTTATAGAGAATTCATCATTTGTCCTGAGCCCTTAAAAATGAGGAATTTGCCCTGACTGGTGTGGCTTAGTTGGTTGGGCATCATCCCACAAACTGAAAGGTCACTGGTTCAAATCCTGGTCACGGTACAAGCCTGAGTTGCAGGTTGGGATGTTTCTCTCCCTCTCTTTGTCTCTCTGTTCCCCTCTTTCTAAAAATAAGTAAGTAAAATCTTTTTAAAAATTTATGAATTCAAGGAACCGTAGGAGGTGAGTCAGGGACAAACCAACAGAGTTTGTGCAAAAGCACCTTTTCTTGGGAATGGTGGGAAGAGCTAAAGGTTTACATGCGAGTGAAGCAGAATGGAGTCTGGGGAAGTTGGTGTGCAACTGGGGTCCAGCTTGACCATTCTAGCATTAGAAAGACCAGCAGAAATTTGAGGGAAGTCGTATCATGAGATTGATGTTTCAGAAAGGTGATTTTAAAAGAATTTTATTAAGGAAAGTTTGAACATCTAAAAATGGACAGGGTATCAGTATCATGAGGCTATAATATCATCATTGAATCATCATACATTCTTCTTTTTCCTCTCTGCTTCTCCCCATCCCTTTTGAGTTGCTGACTGCAGCAACTCAAAAAGTTGTGAAGGAAATTTCAGATGTCATATCCCTGCCCCTTGAAATACTTTAGTATATAAAAGGAATTGTTAAAATACCCACTATATTATTATCATATCAAGAACTTTATACTTATTTCTTAGTACCTTCTAATATCTAATAATATGTTCAGTTTCCCCCTGTTGTTTCAAAACAAAAACATTTTTGTTGATTTGACTGAATTGGGATTTGAAAAAGGCCTGCACATTGTATATTATTGATAAACTCTAAAATCTCTCCTAATATGTAACTATTTCTATCCCTAACCCTCCCCCTTTTTTCCCCATGCTGTTTATTTGATGAAGAAACCACATTTTTCTGTAGAATTTTCCATATTCTGGGTTTGACTGAGTGTGTTGTCTTTTAACATGTTTCTCTATCCCCCCTATTTATAAGCTGGTAGCTAGACGCAGAAGGATGACTGCATTCAGGTTGAATTAGTTTTTTCAGGGAAAATTACACTTGGTGTCATGCACCTCCACACAACCTGTCAGAAAGCACATAATGTCTAGTTAACTCTCGCAAAGTGAGGGTGAGGTAATTATTGAGATCATGTGTTTTCCATCTGCTCCATTATTGGAGTGCTCCTAACATTTGATGTGTAGGTTTTAGGAGCCATTGATGATCATTGCCTAGAACCGTTAATTCATTAGAGGTTGGGAAATAGTAATTTTCTAATTCTGTCATCCCTTCTGCCTTTATTAGCAGAGATATCATTGATTCTGGTGGGGAGAAACTGCCAAAAGGGAGAAGTAAGGAACCGAATTCAGGTCGTGTAGGTTGGAGCACTGATTCATATTCCACAGGGTTTCATGACTGATCTGACTCAGGGGGGGGAATGGAGTCAAAGATGACTAAGATTACATGTTTGGGAACCTAGATAAATGATGGTGTATTTAGGGAATGGGCCCAGTTTTGAACACATTACTTACTTGTCATTTCATGAAGATCTCAAGCCTCCAACTAGAAATACAGGCCTGAGTTAAAGAAAAAGGTATGGGCTGGGAATTGGTATAGGATGCAGGATAGTGCTTGTTATTACTATTTTCCAAGTAATCTGATGGACTGTATTTTGAAAAAATCAGTTTTATAATTCTTGTTTAAAATATTTTTGAAATAATATTAATCATGCACCTGGCAAGATTAAATTTAGTCCTCTTTTTCCCCCTCCTTTTCCCTTTATTATTGCAGAAAATGCAAGTAAAACCAAGATGTTTAATTCTTCAAGTTTGTAAATAAGATCAACACCAGTCCTTAGCATGATTTTCAAGGGGATGGACAATAGTAGTAAACTCTTTAGGACAGAAGGAAAATGAGAAAGTAGAAGTCATTCAGTACTCTTACAGAAATTACTTAGAGTGGTAGCTGTAGGTGAGGAAACGATAACTTCAGAGCACATTGCAGACTTTCTTGAATTCCTCAGCATGTGTCTCTTAACTACAGAGACATCCTCAGGGAAATTCAGAATCCCCACTGTGACACATCAGTAGTGTTATGTCAGCAACACTGTTGTCTGATGTCCAGCTGACACATCTGCTGCACTCAGTAGGGCTTCCCCATTGTTCCTGAAGGTCGTCCTCCATTGCTTTCTGTCATGCAGGGCGCTTCACCACATGTCTTTCTAGTTTCCTGTTTTCTAGATATTCATAACCTTTTGTCTTTCATGACATGGACAGTTTTTATGAGGCTAGGCCAGTTGATTTATAGAAGGTTGTTCAAACCGGAATTAGATGAATGCTTATTAATGTTAAATCACAAATAAACTATTTTTTAAAAATTGGAATTAGATGATATGTTTCCTTATGATTAGATTCAGAATCATGTGCATTAATTATATCAAGATATGTCAGTTTATAATTTATTACTCATTATAAATTATATGATAGGCCCATTTTTCTCCCTTTTGAGTAAAAAATAACTTTTTACTTCTAAAATAATAAGTAACCTGACAATAAATAATAATAAATAATCTTTGAAACTGTGAGAATCTCTTATTTTCCAATAACCTCTCACCCCTTGATTTTAAAATACTTGTATGATTCATGCCTAAATTAGTTACTACTGTGGTGATTGTAAAATACTGATTTTTCTAATTCTTTTACTTTGTATTTTTCAGTCTGTGTTCATAAAAGGCCACTCCTCCCTCTCCCTTAGTGTCAGTTTACTCATGGACCCCTTTGTCCAGGCATCATGTCCATTACTGTTGTTACTCACCTTAATACTAAAATGGTTCCAGATTTATCTAGTGGGTTCCAAAATGGTTCCAAATTTACCTTCAAGCTACCCCCTGCATCTTTTTTATATTCTCTTATCAGTTTTGAGCACATCATTGCTTTCTGGCAGAGGTGTTTCAGTATTGCCATGAACTTCTCTGCTCCAACCCTGGTTCTCTTTAGGGAGGAAGAGGTTTTAGAAACGAAGATGTACTAACTGCTACTAGGGTACCATTATTTCTAAGCCCAAAGTAGAACTAAAGTAAAAGGTACACATTTGTTCAGTCCATCACTACAGGGGCTTCCTCTTATTCTCATTGGTCATCATACTAGCTTCCTTTTTATATCTTGAGAACACTGGTTCCCATCAACTCTATTTGTACTGACTTTTCCGTACTACAATGATTAGAAATTAGCTTCAGATTTGCTACATCACTTCTTATAAAATTCCACATTTACATGCAGGTTTGCTATACTTACAAGATTTACTAGGGGTGTTTAGTATTAAAGTTACTTGGGTTAATTCTTTTGTTTTTCTTCTCTGTGGTTATATTATCAATTTGATAAATAGGTGCATTTATTTGTTAATTAGTATCTCTTTTCTCCCTACCTCCCAGTCTAATATCTAATTTGAAGTAAGTTTATCCTTGAACAGTATGGGGTTGAACTAAACAGGTCCACCTATATGTGGATTTTTTCAGTAAATATACCATCATCCCAGCCTTCCATATTCTCACATTCCTCATTTGCAGATGCAACCATGGGAGTCTGTGGATGTGAGAACCCACTATGTTTATATTGGAACTATGCCATTTTATATAAGGGAGTTGAGCATGCATGGAGCTTTGTATCTGTGGCTGTTCAGGAGTGTCCTGAAACCAGTCCCCCACAGCTGTAAAATTTTGGGGAATTCAAAGTAATACTCAGATTTTCAAGTGTGCAGGGCTTGTTGCCCCTAACTCCTGCATTGTTCAAGGATCAACTGTATATAATAAATCAGTTGCAGAGGTGAGATTTGGGTGTCATCTTTACTCATTCCATATACAGTAGTGAAGTTTAACAGGAAGTTTATGGACATTTTGGGACCCAAAAACCTTTTTTAAAAAAACCTTTGTATTTGGATCAGTAATTACTTTTTCTTTTTTTTTTTTAATGATAATCAAGAAAGTCTATATAAATTAGTTACTGGTGATTTGGGGAATTTTGTACTTCAAATCATTTACAAACCTATCACCACCACCACCACTATACATAAGACAGTATTATTGTTCACATCTGCTTTCTAAAATTGAAGCTCTTCATCAGTAGCATTTATTTGCTAAATCAGAGATATAGGTAATATTAAACAACTTCTGTTTAGGTAAGTAATTTTAAGGAGTTGAGAAACTTCTAGGGAGGAAAAAAACACTTCTAACAGATATTGTTAGTACTACTTTTCAAAACCTTTCAAATTACTACGTTAATGAGTATTTAAATTTTTTGTTTTTTAGAGACTATCTTTAAATAATGACATATTTGAGGCAAACTCTGATAGTGATCAGCAGAGTGAGACAAAAGAAGATACTTCTCCAAAAAAGAAAAAGAAAAAATTAAGGCAGAGAGAAGAGAAAAGCCCTGATGATCTGAAGAAGAAAAAAGCAAAGACTGGTAAACTAAAAGAGAAATCGAAGCCAGACCTGGAGGGCTTTGAAATTTCAGTTTTTGATTTAAGGACAAAGAAAAGAATTTCTGAAGCCAAAGAAGAATTAAAGGAATCCAAAAAGCCCAAGAAGGACGATATAAAAGAAACTAAGGAATTAAAGAAAGTTAAAAAGGGTGAAATAAGAGATTTTAAAAGTAAAATAAAAGAAGATTCCAAAGAAAACAGAAAAACAAAAAAAGACAAATGTGCTGAATTTCTGTTGGAATCCGAATCATGTATACTCAGTGACCCTCCCTTTCATGAAGGGGACAGTGAAGATTTACGGTCTGACAACAGAGAAGAGAAACTGAAGATTAAAAGTGGAAAAGATAAAGCAGGATTAGATGGAGCACAAGACTCTGTTCTAGATAAACAGCTGGATGGGTCCGGAAGTGCTGATGAGGATGCTGATGTCAGAGGAAAGAGAAACAAAAAGAAACCCAGAAAGGCTGAGGAACTTAAAGAGAGCAAAAAGCTAGAAAGCAAAAACTTTTCTTTAGAGAAGAAAAATGCCCATAAAAAGCAAAGGAATCAAGACAAAAGCAGAAATACCACAGAGCCAGATAATCTGACACATGGACCTTCCCATACACAGAAGAGCTCAAGGCTGGGTGAGGAAGAGAGGGGCCTCCAAGCCACTGACTTGGCCAGGGAAGTGAGTACTAGGGGGGTCGTTTGAAGGATTGTGTGTTAAAATCTAATAAGGAATGTTCCTATCCAGCTAGCTCTGCTTTGACTAGTCAGAGTTTCACAAATAAATGAGAAAACAGTAGATCTGTGAGAATAGTTTTTCTCCCATTAAGTCTTTTTTTGTAAAAATGTTTAATAGCTTATCCCCTTATTGTAAAAATAGTTTTATATGGGTTTTCAAAGTGGAAACATTTTCCACATTATGAAAATACTCATACATATATTGATATATGCAGTCTTTATCAAGGGTTATAAAAACAGTAATGTTTTATTCATTTTCAGTTGTGTAGATTTAGCTTAAGGAAATCATTTTCAAGGGAGAAAGAGCTCTGAAAGATTTTTATGGCAGTATTATCATCACTAAAACTAATCACCAATCTAACTGTTTAGCCATAAGGGAAATGGTTAAGAAAATGTTGCATCAACTTGAGACTTATTATATATCCATGGAAGTATTCATTATGAGGTCAGTGTTGCCAAAATAAAAGAGTTTATAAAATTTTATGAAATTTTGAAATTTTATCCATATAAAGTTTTGAAAATTCATATAAAACTATAAAATTTTATGAAATTTTATTTATATAAAATGTCCGCAATATAAATTTTAAAAAAGAATTTTAAACAAAACTACTGGCAAAATTAGCTGAGAAGGCAGAATGTGCATAATAAAAGGTCATGTTTGATTAATAGGACTGTAGGATAACATTTTTGGGAATTTCCTTTTTTTTAAAGATTTTACTTATTATTTATATTTTAGAGGGAGAAGAGGAGGGAGAAAGAGGGAGAGAAACATTAGTCAGTTGCCTCTCTTGCTCCCACAGTTGGGGGCCTGGCCCATAGCCAAGCATTTGTCCTGACCAGGAATCGAACTGGTAAACTTTAAGTTTGTGGGGTATGATGCCCAACCCACTGAGCCACACCAGTCAGAGCTGGAATTTTCTTTATTTTTAGTAATAAATTCTTAACAGAGAGTTCAGGAAATTGTTATTGGGTTTTTAATTTGATATTTTATATATTATGGTTTTTTTCTAAGGTTTTATTTATTTTTTTAGAGAGAGAGGGGAAGGGAAGAAGAAAGAAAGGGAAAGAAACATCAGTGTGTGGTTGCCTCTTGCATACCCTCCACTGGGTACCCAGCCCGCAACCCAGGCATATGCCCTAACTGGGAATTGAACTGGAAACCCTTTGGTTTGCAGGCTGGTGCTCCATCCACTGAGCCACACCAGCCAGGGCTGTAAATTGTGGTTGAGTAATAATCTCAATTGAGGAAGCAGTTGCTGTGTAAAAGATTTAACCATCAGTGGTCAGGTGCCATGGCGCACAAAGGCATTAGGTGGTAGTAGCTCTTATGTTTTTGGGTCTTATGTGTGTTTCTTTCAGGAAAAAGAGACCAAAAAAAATGAACCCAAAGAAAAATACCAGAAAAGGCATGATTTAGACAAGGAAGAAAAAGGCCACAAAGAGCCAAAAGGATTAAAGAGTGAGTGTTAATACCATTTACCATTGCCATCTTTTTTTTTTTTTAGATTTTATTTATTTATCTTTAGAGGGGAACAGAAGGAGAGAGGGAGAGAAACATCGATGTGTGGTTGCCTCTTATGTGACCCCTGCTGGGAACTGGCCTGCAACCCAGGCATGTGCTCTGACTGGGAATCGAACCGTGATCCTTTGGTTCACAGGCCGGCACTCAATCCACTGAGCTACGCCAGTCAGGGCCCATTGCCATCTTTTATTCAAGGAATTTAATGTACTGTGAAACAGTCTCTCTTCTAACCTGCAGTGTCACTGAACTGGTAAATTTCTTTCTTTTTTTAATACTTTCTTTTTTTTTTAAGATTTTATTTACTTATTTTTAGAGAAAGGGGAAGGGAAGGAGAAAGAGGAAGACAGACATTGATGCAAGAGAGAAAGATCAAATCAGTTGCCTCTCACACACCCCGAACCGGGGATCTGGCCTACAACCTAGGCATGTGCCCAGACTGGGAATGGAACCAGCTACCTTTCAGTTTACAGGACAGCACCTACCTACTGAGCCATGCCAGTCAGGGCTAATTATTATTTTCTTTAATAATTTATTATTTTTCAATTAAAGTTGACATACAGTATTTTATTAGTGTCAGTTGTAGTGATTAGACCTTACATAACCCAGTAAGTGATCATCCCAATAAATCTTGTACCCATGTGACACCATATATAGTTATTAGAATATTATTACTCCCTATGCTATACTTTACATCCCTATGACTATGTAATAACTAATTTGTGCTTCTTAATGCCTTTACCTTTTCCACCCATTTCCCCCATCTAGCAACCTTCAAAATGTTCTCTATGAGTCTGTTTCTGCTCTGCTTGTTCATTTATTTTGTTTTTTATATTCAATTGTTGATAGATATGTATGTATTGTCATTTTATTATTTGTATTTTTGATCTTTTATTTATCTTCCCTTGTAGAAGACCCTTTAAAATTTTATGTAGTAGTTTGGTGGTAACAAACTCCTTTAACTTTTTCTTCTTTGGGAAGTTCTTTATTTGTCTTTCCATTCTAAATTATAGCTTGCTAGGTAGAGTAGTCTTGGTTGTAGGTCCTAGCTTTTTATCACTTTGAATATTTCTTGCCACTTTCTTGGGTCCTATAAAGTTTCTGTGAAGAATCTGACAGTCTTATAGGAGCTCCCTTGTAGGTAACCAGCTGCTATTCCTGTGATGCATTAAAGGATTCTCTCTTCATCTTTAACCTTTAGTGTTTTAATTACAGTGTTTCTTGGCTTGGGCCTCTTTGTGTTCATCTTATCTGGGACTGTCTATACTTCCTGGACTTGATTATTTCCTTACCAGGTTAGGAAATTTTCCATCATTATTTCTTCAGATAGATTTTCAGTTTCTTGTTGACTCTCTTCTTCCAGCAACCCTATGATGCAAATGTTGATACACTTAAAGTTATCCCAGAGGCTCTTAATACAATCTTCATATTTTGGGGTTCTTTTTACTGTTTGGATTGGGGGTTTTTTTTGCTTTCTTATATTCTAAATCACTAATTTGATTCTTGGCTTCATCCACGTTACTATAGAGTCCCTGCAAATTGTTCTTTATTTCAACTAGTGTAACCTTCTTTTCTCACTGGATTTTTTTAAGTATATTTTATTAATTATGCTATAACAGTTGTCCCATTTTTTTCTCTCTTATTCCCCTCCACCTTGTACCCTCCTCCCACCAGCATTCCCCCCTCCCTTAGTTCATGTCCATGTGTTATACATATAAGTTCTTTGGCTTTTCCATCTCCTATACTGTTCTTAACCTCCCCCTAATTTTTACCTATATTTATGCTGCTTATTCCCTGTACCTTTTCCCCCATTCTCTCCCACCCCTCTCCTAGCTGATAACCCTCCAAGTGATCCTCTGTTTCTGTGATTCTGTTCCTGTTCTGATTGCTTAGTTTGGTTTTGGTTTTGTTTTTTTCTAGGGTCAGTTATTGAAAGTTGTGAGTTTATTGTTATTTTATTGTCCATATATATTTTTTTACTGCTCATATTTTTTATTTTTTTCTTAGGTAAGTCCCTTTAACATTAAATATAATATGGGTGAGGTGATAATGAACACCTTTAACATGACTTTATCTTGGAAGCACTTTATACGCCTTTCCATTCTAAATGATAGCTTTGCTGGATAAAGTGATCTTGGATGTAGGTTCTTGCCTTTCATGACTTGGAATACTTCTTTCCAGCCCGTTCTTGCCTGTACAATTTCTTTTGAGAAATGACCTGACAGTCTGATGGGAACTCCTTTGTAGGTAACCCTCTTCTTTCCTCTTGCTGCTTTTAAGATTCTCTCCTTATCTTTAATCTTATAATTTAATTATGATGTGTCTTGGTGTGTTCTTCCTTGGGTCCAACTTCTTTGGGCCTCTCTGAGCTTCCTGGACTTCCTAGAGGTCTATTTCCTTTGCCAGATTGGGGAAGTTCTTTATTATTTTTTCAAATAAGTTTTCAATTTCTTGCTCTTCTTCTTGTCCTTCTGGCACCCCTGTGATTTGGATGTTGGAATGTTTAAAGTTGTCCCAGAATTTCCTTAGCGTCTCCTCATTTTATGGAATTCTGTTTCTTCATTCTGTTCTGGTGAATGCTTATTTCTTCCTTATGCCCCAAATTGTTGATTTGAGTCCCAATTTTCTTCTCTTCACTGTTTTCCTGTATATTTTTTTTTAGTTTTACTTTGAATAGCCTTCATTTGTTCCTCTCTTTTGAGTCCATAATCATTTCTGTGAACATCCTGATTACCACTGTTTTGAACTCTGCATCTAATAACTTGTCCGTCTCATGTCACTTAATTATTTTGGGGAGTTTTACCTCTACTTTTTAAAAGATTTTATTTATTTATTTTTAGAGGGAGGGTGAGGGAAGGAGAAAGAAAAGGGGAGACCCATCAATGTGTTGTTGTTTCTCTCATACCTTACACTGGGTACCCGGCCTGCAGTCCACACATGTGCCCTGAACTGGGAATTGAACTAGTAACCCTTTGGTTCACAGGTCAGCACTCAGTCTACTGTGCCACACCATCAAGGGCTTATTTTTGGAGTTTTGATCTGTTCTTTCATTTGGACCATATTTCTGTCTCAGTGCACCTTTTACATTGTCAGGGGCACTTCGCCAGGGCGGGTCAATACACGTCACTGGTGTTTGGTGCTGTCTGTGGAGGAGAGGTCAAAGAGGAACAGTTCTACACTTTGCCTACCTGGTCCTGCAGCTACCACCTTGCTGCACATTCTTTCTGACCTTGCTGACCATCTTCTGGGTGAATGTTTCTCCTTTAATTCCCTGGTTGCTAGAATTCCATACAGTTTGGTTTTCTGTCATTTCTGGGTGTTGAGTGTTTTTTGTTTTTATGTTTGTTGTCCTTCTTTTGGTTCTGCGAGGAGGCCGAGGAGGCCCAGTCTATTACTTATGCCTCCATCTTGGCTGGAAGTCCCTTACTGGATTTTTTTTAAAGATTTTATTTATTTACCTTTAGAGGGGAAGGGAAGGAGAGAGGGAGAGAAATATCAATGTATGGTTGCCTCTCACTCATCCCCTACTGGGAACTGGCCTGCAACCCAGGTATGTGCCCTGACCAGGAATCAAACCTCGATCGTCTAGTTCGCAGGTCTGCACTCAATCCACGAAGCTACACCAGCCAGGGCCCTTACTGGAATTTTTTTTATGCTCTTAAGGTCCTCACTAAGTTTCTTGAGCATCTTTATAACCAGTGTTTTCAACTGTGCATCTGGTAGATTGCTTGTCTCCATTTCATTTAGTTGTTTTTCTGGAGATTTCTCCTGTACTTTCATTGGGACCTGTTTCTTTGTTTCTCTGTTTTGGTTGTTTTTCTGTGTTTGTTCCTATGTATTATTTAGAGCTCCTGTCTCCCCCAGACTTGGAAGAGTGGCCTTGTATATTTAGTATGTGTCCTATACAGCTAATGGCATATCCATCTCAAATGCTGGCATCCAGCTGATGTGCCAGTCACCCAAGCTGGATACTGCAGGTGTGCCCCTGTGTGGCTGTGTGCACCGTCTATTGTAGTTGAGCCTTGATTGCTATTGGAGTCACTGGGAGGGATTGATCCCCCCCTCCCCAGCTGATTTGCTGTGAGAACCACCTGCAACTACAGGGAGGAGTTGCTATGCCAGAGTCAACCCTATGGAATAGGACTTGCATCAGTGGGGCTTTGGTGCCCAGTGAGTCTGTTCCTTGAGTGTATCATTCATGGAAGTGGTGTGGTTGTAATGCAGTCTGGTCTGAAACTGTCCACTGGGCACACTGACTCTGAGGCCTCCCAGGAGATGCAAAATAAGCCACCACCTGTAACCTGCCTGGGGCTACCTGGCTTGAGCTACAGAGTGATCTTCATATGGTTGCTACTTTTACTGGGCTTGCAGGTACCCATGGCCAGCTGATATAGTGCCAGACCTGGGGCCACTTATTTAGCAAGAGGTATGGGGTACACAGAGGCCAGATGGTGCTTGTTCGAGAAATTTTAGGGAAGTCTAAGGAATGAGGTAAGAGAGACCATTTGTATGGAAAGCCACTAGAAATACCTTGGGTGGATCATGCAAGTTGGGTGGGGAGGGGTCTCAGGGAATCACCAGGGCAGAGTGAGTATTGCCTTGGTTAATGAAGACTCAGGTATGGTGCCCACCTGCCATCTCTGTAGGGGCAAGGCTCAGAACAGGAACAGTGGCCTCTGCCAGCACTTCCCTTTCAGAAGTTGCCCCCTCAGCTCTCACTCTGATGCCAGACAATTCACTTCCTCCCCATATGCCCCTAGTGCTTTTCAAGCTGCTCCCCCAGGGCCAGAGCTCAAAGTAAGTGACTCCATGTAAGTCCATGTGCAGGCCCAGTAAGAGGAAAACCTGGGACTCCAGAAGTCCTCCATTTCACTAAGCCACATCCCTGCTGCTTTTTACAGCCAGAACTTGTGAAGACTTATCTTCCTGATTGTAGAACCCTGGACTGAGAGGCCTGGTGTGGGGCTGGGACCCCTTCCTCCTCAAGTGGGCGCCTCTGCAGCCAAGATAATTCCTCCCAATTTTTATCCACTACATGGGGGTGCGGGATCAGTCCGTTCTGCATCTCCTCCCCTCCTAGTAATCTTGATGTGGCTTCTTCTTTAAATCCCTACTTGTTTTACTTTCATTTAGCTAGGTTTCAGGCAGTTCTGAATGATGGCTGTTCTGTAGTGTAGGTGTAATTTTGATGTGGTTATGAGAGGATTCAAGTACCATGTCACCCTGTTGACTAGAAGTTCCAAGAACACCTCAAAAATTTATTCACTGGGCAGTTTAGAACCATGGGCTGCTTTTGTTTCACTAGTTATTTTATTTTATCTTAATTTTTTTAAATAAATGCCTTATTTATTTATTTTTAGAGAGAGAAGGGAGAAAGAGAAACATTAATCCATTGCCTCTCTCATGCTCCCTACTGGGGACCTGGCCTGCAACCCAGGCATGTGCTATGACTGGGAATTGATCTGGCAACCTTTCAGTTCACAGGCCAGCACTCAATCCACTGAGCCACACCAGCCAGGGCTGTCTTAGTTTATTATATAACAGCTTCAGTTGTTTGTAACATTTTCTCCTCCTGCTTACCTTGTTTTCTCTCCTTTTGTTTATGACAGTGAAATAACTAGAAACAGGAAGTTAACTATGGCAGGAAAGTAAAGGTCTCTTTCGTGGTGAATACCAGGTGAAACAAACTACTGTTTACTGCGTTTATTGTCTTTAGCTCTGTGTCAGTTACATAAACATAATGTTGAATATTTATTTTGGATTATGTTAACATATACCATAACACATGCACTACTGGGACAAGTAATTTATAGAACATCCCCATCACAGTGTTTGAATAAGCCGCCAAGGGTATTTTAGTTTATGCACCAGCAGTACTTGGAAAACATGTTTACATGGAAGCAGTAATTCCTAATGACAGATTGTTCCTCCAAGTTTTCTCCCAAAAGCTATATGTAATTGAGGTAGCAGTAAAACTAGATTCTGCTTCTATGCCTTGTCTAGGACTTCAGACTAAGTAGCAGTGGAGTGGAAGCTAGTAAAGATCAATTACTGTTTTGATGGATCATGCATTAAGTGACTACAGTTACTTCCTTCGAAGAGTGATTGAAGATTCAAAATATTGTATAATTGGAGTAGTTCATTCTTTCTTCCCCCTGCTATGTTATACGTCACTGTCAGGTACATTTTTACTATGAACATACTGTCTTGAACAACTGCTCATTCTGTTTATAATGATATTTACTGAGAGTCTGATTTTTAGTATCCTCTGCTAAATATGTACCCAGAGTTTATAATAGAGTTCTTTCTAATTATGTTTTGTTCTTCCCCTTTTTGGAGTTATTATATCAGATCTAGTACTTAGCCAGTCTTCTTTTCACTTTTCTCTTTCAATGGAGTTTCACAGGCATCAGGTAGTTTTACTTAGGTACACTGTCGGCATGCTGTCATGGCACCCTACCATTTCCCACTCACCCCAGAGATTATTTGTGTGCAAGATTAGCTTCGTGGTACAGTTGTAAGCAGTTCTCCTAGTAGAACAGCCGATGGCATGCCTGGGATTATTCTGTCTTCATTAGGCCGTTGTGGAAACTAAGAATGGTTCACAACACTAGGACCAGCCATTCCTGTTGGATAGAAATCCTTTTTAAATATAGAGCAGCCAGTAAAAAGACCAGTTGAAACCTCTTAATGGCTTTGATCTGGTCATACTTTACAACCATGGCAGATATTAGTAAAAGTTAAGAATATGCCAGGTAGCTCAACTGGTTAGAGTGTTGTCCTATTACACTAAGGTTGTGTGTTCAGTGCCAGCCAGGGTACAGAGAAGAGTCAACCAATGAATGCATAAGTAGTGAACAAATCGATCTCTCTCTCTCCCCTGCCCCACTTCCCCTGTCTCTCCCCCTCTCCTCTCTCCCCCTTCCCTCTTACCTCCTACTTTCCTTGCTCACTCTTAAAAAAAAATTAAAAATTTCATTTTAAAAAAGATGACCTGGCTGGGCAGCTCAGTTGGTGGTTATATCATCCTGTACACCAAAAGTCTGTGGGCTCCATCCCCTGTTGGGACACATACGGGAGGCAACCAATTGATATTTTTCTCACGTTGATGTTTCTGTTTTCTCTCTCCATTCTTCTTTCTCTAAAATCAATGAAAACCTATCCTTGGGTGAGAATTTAAAAAAGAAAGAAAATACCCGTTTTGTTAATACAAACCCAGATTTTCTTTTGATTACAACAGAAATTTGTGGTTGCTAGTCCTTATCAATTTTATGTTTTTCACCAGCATTTAAAGAAATTAGAAATGCATTTGATTTCTTTAAATTAACTCCAGAAGAAAAAAATGAGTTTCCTGAGAATAATCAGAAAAGAGAAGAAATACCACTGGATTGTAATTTCACAGAAGATCACAAAGCCAAGGAAGACAAGCAGGTACTTAAAGAAAGGAGAAACACAAGAGATGAGACTGACACATGGGCATATATAGCTGCAGAAGGTGATCAAGAAGTCCTCGATGGTGCGTGCCAAACCAATGAGAATTCTGGTGAGTGTGTTTGCAGTCAGTTTGCAGACTTTTCAGAGCAATATGATTTTACTCACCTCATTTTTTTTCACTGTCACTCCAGATCAGAAAATAATGATATAGACAGTTTTGTTTGAATCTCCTGGATAAACAGCTTTTTATATTGAAGACTTAGGTCATTCTGTGGTTTCTAAATTGTCCACACAAATATTTTGAGTCCCCATGATGTTCTCAGCACATTTAAAAATGTTTAAAGATTTCAGGTATTCTACCTTTTCCACTCTTGCCAAGTAGCCTGATTATATATCTTAATGGTATCTATCAGGAAGTTATCAAATGCATACTTACTTGTATCCTGTCCTTTTAACTTTGTACTAAATGACTTTTTAAAAAATATATTTTATTGATTATGCTATTACAGTTCTCCCATTTTCCCCCTTCATTCCCCTCCACCCTGCATACCCTCTCCCACACACATTCCCCCCTTTAGTTCATGTCCATGTGTCATAAGTTCGTTAGCTTCTACATTTCCCACACTATTTTTACCTTCTCCCTATTTTCTACCTACCATCTATGCTACTTATTCTCTGTACCTTTTCCCCCGTCTCCTCCTCCCACTCCCCTGTTGCTAACCCTCCATGTGATCTCCATTTCTGTGGTTCTGTTCCTGTTCTAGTTGTTTGCTTAGTTTGCTTTTGTGTTTGTTTTAGGTGTGGTTATTAATAATTGAGAGTTTGCTGTCCTTTCACTCTTCATATTTTTTATCTCCTTTTTCTTAGATAAGTCCCTTTAACATTTTATATAATAAGGGCTTGGTAATGATGAACTCCTTGAACCTGACCTTAATCTGAGAAGTGCTTTATCTGCCCTTCCATTCTAAATGAAAGCTTTGCTGGATAGAGCAATCTTGGATGTAGGTCCTTGCATTTCATGACTTGGAACACTTCTTTCCAGCCCCTTTTTGCTTAGAAGGTTTCTTTTGAGAAATCAGCTGACAGTCTAATGGGAACTGCTTTGAAAGTGACTGTCTCCTTATCTCTTGCTGCTTCTAGGACTCTCTCCTTCATTTTAACCTTGGGTGACTTGATGATGTGCCTTGGTGTGTTCCTCTTTGGGACTCTCTGAGCTTCCTGGAAGACTATTTCCTTTGCAAAATTGGGGAAGTTCTCCTTTATTATTTGTTCAAATAAGTTTTGTACTTGTTGTTGTTCCTCTTCCCCCTCTAGTAGCCCTATAATTCAGATGTTGGAATGTTTAAAGATGTCCCGGAGGTTCCTAAGCCTCTCCTTATTTTTTTGAATTCTTGTTTCTTCATCCTTTTCTGTTTGGTCATTTTTTTCCTCCTTCTGGTCCACTCCTTTGATTTGAGTCCCAGTTTTCTTTCCATCACTATTGCTTCCCTGTGCATTTTCCTTCATTTCACTTATCACAGCCTTCATTTTTTCCATCTAATTTGCAACCAAATTCAACCAATTCTGTGAGCATCCTGATTACCAGTGCTTTTAATTGCACATCTGACGGGTTGGCTATCTCTTCATCCCTTAGTTGTATTATTTTTGGAGCTTTGATCTGTTCTTCCATTTGGGCCATTTTTTTTGTCTTGTCGCACCTGTTTTGTATAAGGGGTGGAGCCTTAGCTGTTCACCAGGGTATGGGGCAACCCAGTTCCTGGGTTGTGATGCTGTGTGTGGGGGCAAGTCTGAGAGGAACAATGGCGCTTGCTCTGCTCTCTGCTGTCAGATTTCAGTCACTTCTACTGCTTCCCCCAAGCAGCCTAGGCTCTTCTGCTGCTGATTCCTGGGTGGGTGGGCTTGTGTACCTTCTAGTACCCTGTGGATCTTTCCAACAAACTCTCCTGTGAGTGTGGGAGTCTCTCCCAGCACCTCAGCCCCTACAGGTGTTTTCAATTGGTGTTTTGAGGCTTTATTTTCCAGCGCTGGGACCCTGGGTTGTGCTGTCTGTCTCTCTCACTTCTCAATTTCACCTGGTTTATCTGCGCGTGAATGTGGGACTGCCTGGTCAGCCAGCTGCCTTGCACACTCGATGCCACCATTTTTTTTTGCTGTGACCCCTTTCCACCTGGCCACACGACTCCACCTCTCCTACCGGTCTGGATGAATGTATGCAGAGGAGTTAAATTAATTATTTGGTTGTCAGACTTCCATACAGTTCAATTTTCTGTCAGTTCTGGTTGTTATTTTGTTTCTAAATTGTTGTCATCCTTATTTTGGTTGTGCAAGGAGGCACAGTGTGTCTACCTACACTTCCATCTTGGCCAAAAGTCTCATTTTCTAAATAAGATGGTTGTAAATGTCCTCCCAAGGTCGTTGGGATCAGCTGCAGAAGGAGAGCCACGGGTGGGATATTGGGCACACTGGGTATGAGAGGCTAGAAGAAAGAGTGCATATATACATAGTTACAACTAGGACAGAATAAGCACAGTTCATGTGATAAGACTGTGTAATTTGTGAATCTTAAAACAGTTAAAGAGAATTATTTACAATAATTGTAAAGCTTCACGTGTTTGTGAATATATGGCACAATGGATTGTCTGGGTATTCCTGTTAATACAAAACCACTAGGCCCTTGGCATCAGTTAAATTATGCTTTCTGATGCACTGCTGAGCTTGCAGGAAACTGGGACAATTGTTAGGACCAATAGAACGGGAAGAGGAAGTGGGTTGCCTAGAGCCCAGGTGCCAAATAGCAGCTCTGCTGTTTGGGATGCCAGACAATGAGGACACATGCAGTAGATGTTGGTGTGCACTCTTGGGCGTCCCTGGTGATATATGAACCACCTGTTACACAGAGGGCGAGGGGAGACTGTGAAAGTGCAGCCTCCCCAGATTGGCAGGTGCTAGGTAGGTGGAATAAGCAAGGGAACTTACATACGAGGTTCATCTTGGGTGACCACTAGACAAGTAGATTTCCACACTGCCTGCCAAGTCTTAAAACTTTATAGGAAAGACTCAGTGGGGTTCAGTCCAGGTGGTCTCACAGTTCCTTCCTCTCTCAAGGCTGCATCCCTGAAGTGACTCCCGCTGTGGGAATGGTGGTCAGGATGTACAGGGAGGAGTGAGGAGCCTCCAGTTGCCTGCATCTGGCTCACTGCGCAACCAGTGATCAGATCCCCTGGATGACCTTCTCTAGCACTCCACCCCCTATGACTGACCCTTACAATGTCACATGCCTCCTCTTCCATAATGTGTCCCCGGCGGACAGCATGGGGGCTTCACTAGCGTGGAGGTGGCTTATTTGGTGGCTCTATCAGCATTCCAGGCAAACACCACAATATCAGTACAGGCACATGCAAGAGGAAACAAGTTAAGGTAATGATTCCCAAAGTAAGAAATAATTTTTTTCACCAATTGCTCCAAGATCAGAACCAATGATTTATTATGTCCACTAGGCTGGGCGTCAGGTCATTGAGGGCATTCACATGTGTCTTCATGTGAATTAATGAAGATAATACATTAGCAGACTCATGATATGAACACATTCTCTTTGGACAATGACACAGATGTCTCCGTGAGGCAGTAATCATATGCAGGGCCATCCTTTGGAGGACAGCTTTCTCACTAGGGACTTTTCAGTATTCAGTGGAGACAGGCTTTGTCAGCTGACATTCAAGGCTTGCTGAGTGAGTTTATTAAGGGCTTCCTTGTGTGTTGTAATGTCCTCCAGGGCAACAGAGGGAACAAAGATGGTGGCCAAATGATCACACCAGCAGAGGGGAGATGGGGGTTGGCAGCTTAAGGAACCTGACCAGGACATGCATACCATCCATGTGGTGGGGGACACTACACGAGGGACTGAGAGTGGGACGTGCCAGACCAGGACCCCCCAACTCATACTTTCTCTCAGTGATGCGTGTTTCATTTTTTTTCTTCCTTCTGGTCCACTCCCTTGATTTGAGTCCCAGTTTCCTTTCCATTACTACTGGTTTCCTGTGCATTTCCCTTCATTTCAATTAGTTTAGCGTTCATATGTTACGTTCCTCTAATTTGTGACTAAAATCAACCAGTTCTGTGAGCATTCTGATCACCAGTGTTTTGAACTGTGCATCTGAACGTTTGGCTATTTCTTGGTCGCTTAGAGTTATGGGCTCTGGGGCTTTGAATTGTTCTTGAGCCATAATGTTTTGCTCTGTTTACACCTGTTACGTACGAAGAGCAGAGCCTTAGGTATTTAGCAGGGCGGGGCCACCCAGGTCGCTGGTTTGTGACGCGATGTGTGGGGGCGGGGACAGAGAGGGACAATAGCAGTCCCCTCTGCTGCTTCCCGCCCTGGGGCCTGCGCCATCTGTCTCACTGCTCGCTCCTTCACCGCTTTATCTGCGCTCAGTCCTCAGTCTGGTGGATCTTTCCTGCCCAACCCTGCTCTGCTGCTGGCTCCAACCCTCTTACTGGTTTGGCTGAAGGGTTTGTTGCTGTCAGACTTCCGTATAGTTCAATTTTCTGTGGTTTGGCTGCGTTTTTGTTGCTAAAACTTTGTTGTTTTTAAACTTGGTTGTGGGAGGAGGCACAGTGTTTCCACCTATGCCTCCATCTTGGTGGAAGTCCCTCGCATGTCTCATTTTATATGGCCTCTCTTCTGTCCTGCTCCCCTGTGCTTCCTGTGGTCCGTGGTATTCCACAGTTGTGGAAGGAGGTCCCACTGTGGACTCAATTATGGCTTAGCACAAATATGGCTCCTCACTTTCTTCATCATAGATCATTGTAGGTCTAAATGCGTTGATTCATTGAAATAGTTACATACTGTTTATGGGGTATTAGCTAGTTTTTCTATTTAGAGAGGGAGGTAACAGGAGTTCTGGTATTTACTCCAAGTCACACAGCTAACAGGAAGCTGGTGTCCAAATCCAGGTGTGTCACTCAGAGGCCGTGCTGCCAGGTCTCCATGCTCAGAGGTGACAAAAGAGTAGTGCTTGCCCCAACAAGGTTAACTGCCTAATATCCATTTGTTTGTGGAACTGGTTTTAGGTGAAAATTCTTTAGTTCTTACCATCAAACATGGGTACTTTTCAGTCGTATTTAATTACTTCCAAGTGAGTTATGCTCAAGGCTCACTTGCTACACTGTCCATAGGGGATGAGCCATCCATCCTAGTGTCGATGAGTATATGGATCAGACAGCTGAGACCAGCATTTGCTTCACAGTGCAAGGAGAGGGGCCTGGAGGCTCTCAGCAGACAGGGCTTTTAGCTAGAGGAAGCAGAATCTGGAAGGATCCATGGGCAATTACTTTTATTTATACACAGGTCTGATTTACACATTCCCAGTGACTGTACCTACATAAAGGATTGAAAGCAATGTATGTCCAAGAAGAATGGGCAAAGAAATAAATGTTATCAATTCTTCTAACAGAATGCCTATGATTTCTCTTGTCCTTTGATCTATTTAATCTTGTACTTAAAATTCATAGTTTACTACTTTATAGTTATACGTTACCAATTTATCTTTATGCCTTTCAAACACTATAACTTCTCAATGTAAAACACTGTAACTTCATGTTACTTCCCAAAGAAAATCAGAAATTTCATTAAAGACTCAATGACACACTGACATGTTAAAGGTGTATATAAATTTTTGATTAAGATACCACCAATCTAATAAAATGGCATTGTATTTTTTTTATAGTACAGAAAAAAGTATCTTAAGGCCCTTTTATGTTACAGACAGCAGACAGCAGATTTTGAGTCTGGGCATGGACCTGCAGCTGGAATGGATGAAATTAGAAGATTTTCAAAAGCATCTAGATGGGGAAGATGAGAACTTTTCTGAAACAGATCCCATTCCAAGTAGTAAGTAGTTTGGGAGTTATGGGGATACTTTTCATGAATCTAAATACAGAAGCCTAATTTATTCTTTTTTTCATTTTAGCTTTATTGAGGGATGCTGTGAAAAATGGGGATTATATTACTGTGAAGATTGCACTTAATTCAAATGAAGATTATAACCTGGACCAAGAGGTACTAAATAGATCTTTGTAAAATCTCTTGAAAGGAAGATGAAAAATAGCTGTTTTAAAATAATTATTTTTAGTTTTGCACAGTGGCAGTACCATAGCCAATGAGGTTTATCCAAGGCACAATTATTGCTAATTAAAATAATTATTTTACTTTATTATTACTCCAAAAGTTATGCATTTCACCTTATAAAACTCAAACATTGTAGAAGTGTAGAATGTAGATAATTTTAGCTCCAGGATTCCCACCCCTACAGTGACCGTTTGGTTTAGCGGTGGTTCCGATGTGGTCTGTGGTTTAACACTGCTGCTGTGAGGACATTCTGTGTCACTGCATTTCAGTGGAGCTGCCTGTTAGTAGCAACTGCCTGACTTCCTGTTGTTGCTGGGAGTTTTATACTGATCCTGAAGGATTTTTTATATGGAAGCATATTAAACCCTTTTTTCATGGATTTTAGGGTTTGTTTTTTTTTTATCTTTTATTGCTTAGAAAATATTTTTATATTTTTTTCTTTGCTGTAGTGGTGGATTTTTTACAATTTAACCTTTTAGGATTACACTTCAAAAAATACTGGGATTTTGAATAAAATTGCGTGAACTATATAGATCAATTTGGCTGGGAGTTGACTTTTTTATACTTTTGAATCTTTCATCTAGGAAAATGATAGCTATTTATTCCCCTTAGCTCTTCATTTATTCCCTTAAGCAAACATTTTTGGGGTTTTTTTGTTTTGTTTTTTTAATCTTTTTTTTTTTTAGATTTTATTTATTTTCTTTAGAGGGGAAGGGAAGGAGAGAGGGAGAGAAATATCAATGTATGGTTTCCTCTTGTGTGTCCCCTGCTGGGACCTGGCCTGCAACCCAGGTATGTGCCCTGACTGGAAATCGAACCATGATTATTTGGTTCGCAGGCCCATGCTCAATCCACTGAGGTACACCAGCCAAGGCTGGGTTTCTCATAGTTATTGTACATTTATTTTAGGTGTATTCCTAAATATGTTAAAAATTTTTTAATATGCTTACCATGATCTTCGGAATTTTTTTTAAAGGTTATAGTCTTTTAAAGATTTTATTTATCTTTAGAGGGGAAGGGAAAGAGAGAGGGAGAGAGATGTCATTGTATGGTTGCCTCTTGTGCATCCCCTGCTGGGAACTGGCCTGCAACCCAGGCATGTGCCCTGACTGGGAATTGAACCTTGGTGGTTTCGTTCGCAGGCCCGTGCTCAATCCACTGAGTTACACCAGCCAGGGGGCTGATCTTTGGAATTTTATTCCTCCCACATTTTGTTTTCTTTTTTTATAAATATATTTTATTAATTGTATTATATTACAGTTGCCCCATTTTCTCCACTTATCCCCTTCCAGCCTCCTCCTACCAGCATTCCCCGTCTTAGTTCATATCCATGGGCCATACACATAAGGTCTTTGGCTTCTCCATTTTCTATACAGTTCTTAACCTGCCCCTGTCTGTTTTGTACCTACCATTTATGCTCCCCCCCCCCGAGATTTTATTTATTTATTTATTTATTTATTTATTTATTTATTTTCAGAGGGGAGGAGAAGGAGAAAGGGAGGGAGAGAAACATCCATTTGTGCTTGTCTCTCATGCGCCCCCTACTGGGGACCTGGCCCAAAACCCAGGCATGTGCCCTGACTGGGAATTGATCCAGCAACCTTTTGGTTTAATGCCCATTCTCAATCTACTGAGCTATACCAGCCACGGCCATTTATGCATCTTATTTCCTGTGCCTTTTCCCCCATTCTCTCTTCTCCCCCTGCCCTCTAATAACCCTCCATGTGATCTCCATTTCTGTAATTTAATTCCTGTTCTAGTTGTTTGCTTGACTTGTTCTTGTTTTTCAGTTTCAATTTTTTATAGTTGTGAGTTTATTGGCATTTTACTGTTCATTAGTTTTGATCTTTTTTTAAGATAAGTCCCTTTAACATTTCATACAGTAAGGGCCAGGTGATGATGAACTCCTTTAACTTGACCTTATCTGGGAAACACTTTATCTGCCCTTCCATTCTAAATGAAAGCTTTGCTGGATAGAGCAATCTTGGTTGTAGGTCTTTGGATTTCATGACTTGGAATACTTCTTTCCAGCTCCTTCTTGCCTGTACAGTTTTCTTTTGAGAAGTCAGCTGATAGTCTTATGGGAACTCCTTTGTAGATAACCCTCTCTTCTTCTTGCTGCTTTAAGATTCTCTCCTTATCTTTAGTAATCTTGGGTAATTTAATTGTGATGTGTCTTGGTGTGTTCTTCCTTGGGTCCAACTTCTTTGGGACTCTTAGCTTCCTGGACTTCCTGAAAGTCTGTTTCCTTTGCCAGATTGGGAAGGTTTTCCTTCATTATTTTTTTCAATAAGTTTTCAATTTCTTGTTCTTTTCTTGTCTTTCTGGCACTGCTATGATTCAGATGTTGGAACATTTAAAGTTGTTCCAGAGTCCTTATTTTTTTGAATTCCTGTTTCTTCATTCTGTTCTGGTGAATGTTTATTTCTTTTTTTTTTTTCCTATCAATGTATGGTTGCTTCTCATGAGTGCCCTGCTTGGAACTGGCCCCTGCTGGGAACTGGCCTGCAACCCAGGCATGTGCCCTGACTGGAAATCGAACCGTGATCTTTTGGTTCACAGGCCCATGCTCAGTCCACTGAGCTACACCAGCCAGGGCTTGTTTATTTCATCTTTATGCTCCAAATTGTTGATTTAAGTCCTGATTTCCTTCACTTCACTTTTGGTTCCCTGTATATTTTTCTAATTTCACTTTGCATACAGTTAACTTTTTGTTCTATTTTTCAACCATACTCAACCATTTGTGTGTGCATCCTGATTACCAGTGTTCTAAACTTTGCATCTGCTAGGTTGGCTATCTCCTCATTGCTTAGTTCTTTTTCTGGACTTTTGAGATTTTTTTTCATTTGGACTTTTCTTTCTTTCTCTCTCTCTCTCTTTTTTTTTTTTGGTCTCTGAGTACCTGTTACTTTGTGAAGGGTGGAGTATATTTGGGGGAAGGGTCCTAGAGGGAACAATACCACTTGCCCCGCTCTTGGCCTTCTTTCAGTCACTTCCCCCGCTACCCAGAAGCAAATTGGGCCCTTGTGGTGCTGATTCCTGTGTGAGTGGGTTTGTGTACTTTCTATGACCCCATTGGTCTTTCCAGTGAACTCTCGTGTGAGTATGGGAATTATTCCCACTCCACAACCCCCAGAGATATTTACTGCCAGAGGTTTTGAGGTTTTAATTTCCCCTCCTGGAACACTGGGTTGCTTGATCTGTCACGCTCCCCAGCTGTTCCTCCCAGTTCCTCCATGCATGTGGGACTGCCTGGTTTACCAGCTGCTGCCACATTGCCACACATCTTCTCTACCCCTGCTGCCTGTCTTTTCTTTTCTTGTCAGACTGGATGAATGTTTCTTGTTTAAGTCCTTGGTTTTTGGACATTCATACAGTTTTCTGGAAGTTCTGGTTGTTTTTGTTTTTAACTTGGTCACTGTCCTTCTTTTGATTGTGCGAGGAAGTGAAGCAAATTTACCTACACCTCCAACTTGGCCGGAAGTCCCATGTTTTGTTTTCTAAGTGGTTATAGTATGCGTGTATGTCTCCAGCCACTTTTAGGAAATTCTCATACCATGATAATTTTTAAGTTATACTTGCCTTGGATATTCTAAGTAGAGAATTTGATCATCTTATAAAAATAGCTATTTTGTTTCCTTTTTCGGTAATATTTCTTTCTCTAGTCTTGTGAAATGGGTGGCAGTTTGAACAACAGTGGTGATAAATGGGATCTGTTCTGTTCTCGATCTGAGTGGGATTGTCTCGGTGTCAGGTTTGATTTCTTTGTGGTAGTGTCCAATGGATAGCCTTTACCTCTTATACCCAATTTTCTTTTTTAGCTGCTTAAGTTTTTATCACAGATGCATGTTGTGCTCTTTATTAAAAGCACAGTGGCTGCAGGGAACTTTGTTTCTTTTTTTTATTATTTAAGAAATAGATTTATTGAAGATTTGAAAAACAATTCCTAAAAGGTTGACTTTTCCAGAAAATTGTAGCTACACAGTGCATTGTGTCTGTCATGTTAAAACGTGCATTAGACATAAATATAAAAACCATAAAATAAGCCACCCACTCTTCAGCAATATGAACAAAGATAAAATGCCTGAGGGACAATGTGGATAACTTACAAAGGATGGGCTCTTTAAGTACCAATTTTTTAAAAAGAGCACAAGTGGATGAGTGTCCTCATTTATATACACTGAATTGAACCTTTGGAACTAGGAATTAGTATTTTGTTATATAGCATAAATACATATTGTGAAAGTACACAGTGTCAAGGAAATAGAACCACTAGTATCCAAAGCAGCTTTATCAAATAAGCAGTAGAACACTCTACAGTATGTTTCTCCATTGTCCATCAATACACTGGTAGCCATTTAGAGAGGAAGAAGAAAGGAGGAGCTAAAAACCCTTTTATAGTGAATTAAACAGAAAACGAACATCAATCTGTTATATCTAACAAAATAGAAAATCAAAGTACATCATTTGTACAACAGAAGGAATAAGACTAGAAATGTTTACAGAGATCCAAACATAGTGTAAGCAAGCACCTTGCACAGCTTTCCAGTGGAACACAGGAGGAGCCACTTCGTAATTACTGGCATTAAACAAAGTTGCACGGGTCTTTGCAAGGTATTTTAGAAAATCATAAAAATTACTCGGTAATTAAAGCAAGAATCCTCTCATTGTGAGTTGTATAAGTTAACATTGCTCCCGTCTGTATAAATACTCTCAAGAGATGTGGGAGCTCTACACTTGAGACATGGGTACTTCAGGGAGATACATGAGGATTGAAGATTTCAGCCTACTGCTATCTCAGATTTGTTTTGTAGCTGAGACATTACATTGAAGTATTCCCTTATCCCTGACACTTCATTAGCAGCATAATCCTTATCTCTGTTGCCTTGTAATTTGCATAATCTTCCAGAATGGAGTCCACATTCTTGTTGTCAGGAAAATGAAAGCTATTTCTACCAGGTAATTAAGTCCCAGTCATCAACAAGCCATAGTTTTAGTTCTTCAAGAATCAGCTTTAACTTCAACTGTGCTCACAAATGCTTCCTCATTTTCAAAGTAACATCTTGCGAAGAGGCTGGTGTGTCTCACTGGCACTGCCACCGTCTACATTTCCAAGTGTTTCCTGTTGGTTCTTTGTTGTTTTCACTTAAACATTTTTCTGTTACAGACCAAGCTGTCTTCTTACCTGGGTCAGCCCCTCTCACTTTCCACCTTCAATATGTTCCTATTTTTTTGAAGTTCTCACTGTTTTTGCAGATTGTTGTCCATGAATTTGAGTATTCTGCTTTCTGGAACTCATAAGTCCCAATTTTTGTTCTAACCACTGTAATATAGAAATGTTTGCCCTTTGTGGCAACCCTTACCCATTTTGCCTCATAAAGAGGAAGCCTCTAAAAATGTGCTTCGCGCACTTGCTCACCCTCCTGGAATTTATTTAGGCTTAGGGTTCTCCTTCGGTGCCGTTCATAGGAATTCAAAGCTGCCTCCTCCTCCTCCTACCACCCTGACTATGGCCCCCCAGTCACCACCCTGTTCAGCTCTTTGCAGATGCCTGCAGAGAAACTTTCTAAAGTTAGATTTTTCCAAATGAGAGAAAGTAGTTATAATTCAGTTTGAGTGAATCCTCTTGAATTCATCTAAAGTGCTAGTGCTAGAAATAATTTTTCTTACATTTGTGTTCCCTCAGCTTACTCATACCAACAAATTCTGCTAAACTTTCAGGTTATAACCAGATTAACTCAAAATAGTGGAATTTAGTTGCATCAAATGATATTTAATTAATGGTTTGTTTTTCTAAGTTTGTTTTAACTAGTAATGAGATATATTTCAGCTAGTAGTTTTACCTTTTTACTACTCATCAACTTTATGTAATTGTATCTTATTTAAAGCAGGTTTTTTTTACTGAATATTGAATATCAGCATCCTGTTTCCTACTTTCGAGAATCTTCCTTATCCTTAAAGTAATCAAACTCTCACTTCCCCATAGTTAACAATGGTTGTCTAACCTAGATAGCATTCATTTCATTGTCTCCTCAATACAGTGGGCTTAGGTGACCAGTGGTTATTTCTAGCCTTACATCTTTGCACCAACTAGGTTAATGTAATCAACATAGGAATTTTATATAGAATACAAGGAAACTTTCAGACCTGAAATTTGAGATAAGTAAGTACCTCTGCCATTTAGAAAGCACCAAGATTCATGCTAATCCAGATGTCCAATAGACACATGAAAAGATGCTCAGTATCATCTTTTCATGATATTAATGATCAACATCATTAATCATCAGAGAAATGCAAATTAAAACCACAGTGAGATAGTACTTCACACCTGTCAAGAATGGCATCATCAATAAATCAAACAGCAAGTGCTAGTGAGGATGTGGAGAAAGAAGAACCCATTTGCACTGTTGGTAGGAATGCTGACTGGTGCAGCTACTGTGAACGCAATATGGAGATACCTCAAAAAATTAAAAATGAAATAAAAATTGGATCTGCCTTATGACCCAGCAATTTCACTTCTGGGAATTTATCCAAAACACTAATTCGAAAGAATATATACACCCCTGTGGTCATTGCAGTGTTATTTATAATGGCCAACATTTGGAAGCAGCCAAGTACCTAACAATATATGAGTGGATAAAACAACAGTGGTATATTTACACAGTGGAATACTACTTTTCCATAAAAAAGGAGAAAATTTTACCCCTCACGACTGCATGAATAGACCTAGAGAACATTATGTTAAGTGAAATAAGGCAATCAGAGAAAGACAAATACCATATGATTTCACTTGTATGTAGAATCTAATGAAAAAACTGAACTAACAAGCAAAAGAGAGACAGACTGACAGCAGATGACAGCCCTGGGGGAACTTGGAGGGGTAGGGGGTTAGAGCAAAAAGGAAACAAAATTCATGAACACAAACAACAGTGTGGTGATTGCAGGGGGAGGAGGTGAGTGGAGGTGGAAAAGGGTATTGGGGGGATAAATGGTACTAGAAAAAAATACAGTAAAAAATGATTTTAAAAAGATTCATGCTCTGGCTAATGTAGCTCAGTTGGATGAGTCTCATCATGAGAACCAAAAGGTCACCAGTTCAATTCTGGGGCAGGGCACATGCCTGGGTTGCAGGTTTGGTCCCCTGAGGGGTGTACAGGGAGGGAGGGGGACAACCAGTTGATACTTCTCACATCAATGTTTCTTGCCCTCTCTTTCTCCCTCCTTTCCCTTCTCTCTAATAAGTTAGGAAAAAAGATTCGTGCAAAGTGTTGATATGCCATTAGAACTTAATACATGAAAGTTGTAAAATTTTATGGTAACATACAAAATACTAAAGATTATTTTTTATTGTAAGTAGATACTTACATAAGTGCACTTTAATGATTTCACACTGAAACAGTCTAGATGGAAATAACTTAATTCTAAAGTTTTTCTTCCAAACCATTGACTTTTTTCCCCTAAAACAAAACCAATAAAGGATTCAAGTGGGATGACACTGTTGATGCTTGCTGCAGCAGGAGGGCAGGATGACCTGCTAAGGCTCCTCATCAGAAAGGGAGCCAAAGTGAATGGCAGGCAGAAGAATGGGACCACTGCACTCATTCATGCAGCTGAAAAGGTGGGTCATTTCATAGTCTTACAGGAATTCCTGCCCCTGGACTAAGACAGAATGTTTTTGTGGTAAAATATAGCAGTTGTACAGTCAACTTAAAAATTTTGTATTTCAGTTCATCTAAGGCTTGTCATGAATTGATTTTGTTATCAACAATAGTACTTTGCAGTTGAATTTTCAAAATGATTATTTACTTGGAAGTGATTTGTATTGAAAACGAACCTCTGATTCATATCCTAAAATCAGTTCAATCTTAGGTCTTCTTAAAAATCTTTTCCAGTTGAAAGTAATTGTTCCTTTTGGTGAGTATAATTAAAGTGTTCCCCATATAGATCTTTCTAAAGGATTGCTATGCAGTGGTTCTTGTGTAGAAAGCAGTGGTTAAACTTCAGATTGAGGTTACTGGCACCTCCCAGCTCTTCCAGGACCCTGTAAAGAAACAGGAAACTGTGTTCATCTAAATGCTTTGGGTGGAATTTTTTTCATGACCACTAAAAGTTTCAAGACATCTAAAAATATCTTACTTTGAAAGAATTTGGAGAACTAAATTTGGTTTTCTTTTTCATTAATAGAACTTTTTAACTACAGTGGCTATTCTTTTGGAAGCAGGAGCTTTTGTAAATGTTCAGCAGAGCAATGGTGAGACTGCTTTAATGAAGGTAAATGCCTCACATGTTCGTTCATCTCCCTCCATCTCTCAGATGTGAATGTTGGGGCCTCCAACTGCCAGGCACTGTTGGGGGTTGGGGACATGATGGAGAACAGGGCATCTCTGGACTGCCACATGCTAGATGAGTGGGAGATGTAAGACCATCGGAGAACCGCTTAACATTTAGTATGATGAGTGATGTGAGAGGAATAAGCATGGAGCTAAGGAGTTACATCAGAATCCAGACCAGGCCAGGCTAAGTCCTGTGACTTCCAGACAGCCTTACGGTGGCTGTGTTATGTGGCTACACAGTCACCATGGAGGGGAATTGGGCTATGCCAAGGGGAGCTAAGGATGGAGTGTATACCAGAGCCTGAAGAATGGGGAAGTGAAGGCCATACTCTGGTTTTTATTAGTGAATGCATCTCTTGAGCTTCAGATTCCTTCCTGTGTTTGGAATGGTAGTTTGTAAATAAATTTTTTATTTGTTTTATTGACCTTTTTAGAGAGAGGAAGGAGGAGGAGAGAGGGAAACATCAATTTGTTGCATATAATCATGCATTTCCTGGTTGATTCTTATATGTGCCCTGACCAGGGGTCAAATCCACAACTTTGGTACATGAGTACAACACTCAAGCAACTTAGCTACCTGGCCCAGGCCATGCAGATAGTTTTGAGTGGAGGTTAAAGCCTTCCCATGTTCTCCTGTATTAGCCCTCCACGTTTAGCGGTTTTGCATTTATGTCTACAGGGGCAGATTCAGCACGTTTTATCTAGCCTATTCCTGGGGCAGTTTTAGGTTCCTGCCCTAAAATGCTGTTGAGCACAGCAGTTCCTGGTGCCTAGTAGTGGTTTAGTTCCCCGAGTGGAGGCTTTCCTAATCCTTCCTCCCTAGACACAGTTTTTTGACCTGTTGAGCCTGAGTTGGCATTTGCCTACAGTTTGTTTCGTCCTTCTTTCATGAGTCAGTAAGTGAGCATTAGCCCCAGCCAGGTTAACCATGGGCTCCCAGAGTCTGCTCTCTCATCCATCATTCCAAAGGCCAGGCCTGCCTGCCACTTCAGCATTTTTCCAGTCTTAGGTTTAAACTCAAGCTCACTGCCTGTGTTTCTGTTTCATTTGTGTATGGCTCTTGGAAATGTTTATTTTGTTAAGGAGTCCTACTTTTGAAAGTCAGTTTTCTATTATATATTTGAAATACGGCCATATGTTTAGAGCAGACATGGCACAACTTTATCTTACTGAGAAATCACCAGGTGGGTTCTAAACAGATACTCCAGAGTGGTCTTTAAAGTACCTTGGTGCTGCTCTAGATTTCCTAAATTCAGACTTGTCTGTGCTTATTAGTTTCCTTTAGAGCAGTTACTAGGAAAATTCTAAAATTTGGTGATGCTAAGAGGTGCTTTAAAATCCTAGGGCTTACCCCACTAAGAGTGAGACAGGCTTTCCCCCCTGGGTGCCTCTGCTGAGCTGTTGTCAGCCAATAGACAGGACGTGGGTGGAGAGCAGAGCTCAGAAAGGTCTGGTGTTGTCTTCCAGTTTGGGATAGAAGTATCTTTTTCAAAGTTGGTCATTTCCCAAGGAATCAGTCACGAATGGAATTGAATGTAGCCTACAGATTTCTGGACTGGTCCCTTTCTATTCATGTAACTTTCTAACACTCGGGGAGACCCAGCTCCAGGGTTTTTGCAATCTTCCTTCTTTTCACAAAGAGCCCCCAGGCTGGCTCAGGTGTGGGGAAAGGGATAAACACTGACTGGTATTTATTTTACAGTTAAATAATTATTAGTCCTTTTTTTGGATGTAGGCCTGTAAAAGAGGAAATTCAGACATTGTACGACTTGTCATTGAATGTGGAGCTGACTGTAATATTTTGTCAAAGCACCAAAATAGTGCAATGCATTTTGCGAAGCAGTGTAACAACGTATTGGTGTACGACTTGCTGAAGAATCATTTAGACACGTAAGTGTGCTGTAACTGTGTCATGGGTACATCACAGGACTGCACATACCAAAACTGGGCTGGTTGGTATCTCCCTGCTTAGAAAAAGACGGTCAAGTGGAAGTCCCTTTGGGCTTTTGTTCTCAAAAGATCACAAAGTAAAGTGGCATATGAATTATTTCTCTTCAAGCACTGAGGCCTTAGAAACTTTCAAACTTAACATCGTCCTGTCCAGGAGTATCTCCTTAAAATCTTGAATTTTAGTTCATTGTTGTTTTACTTAATGGGCACAATTTCTAGAGCACTTTTAAGTTCACAGTGACATTTTTCCAGAGGGCCCCTGCCTCCACACATAAACAGCCTCCCCTGTCATCAGCATCCCTGACCAGACTGGTAACATTAATAAACCTACCTGGACAATTATCATTTAAAGTCCTTAGTTTATGTTAGAACATGTGCCAACAAGGTGAATCCTGTGGGTTTTGAGAAAACATGTCATTAAACAATTACATGTTAGCCTCAGTGCCCTAAAACTTCCTGTGTTCTACCTATAAATTTCTCCCTCCCCAGTAAACCCAGGCAACCACTGATCCTTTTATTGTCTCCATAAATTTTGCCTTTTCCAGAATGTTACATAGTTGGAATTGATACAGTATGTAGGTAGCCTTTCCTACAGGATCATTCCTTGTCTGGATGCATCTATTTCATTCTCTTTCAAATGAACTCTGAATCATTTATTTTGATAACACATAACAGAAATGTCACAAACATTAGCTAACAAAAGTCAGGCATTTATTGTTCATATAACAGGGAGTATAGGAGTATATAGTCTAAGGCAGAAAGAGCTTGTCCTCATCCACCATGCTTAGAATGTGACTTGGATCTTCACGTCTGCAAAAAAGCAGAAAAATAAGGTAAATTTTGGATAAGAAGCAAAAAAAAAAAAAAAGGCAAAGGTCAAAATGAAGGGATACTGTCTAATGAATGTGCCCTCTTTAAAAACAGCCTCACCCAAGTAGTAGTTTTTTTCTTTTTTAAAATCTTCACCCAAGCTTATGTTTATTGATTCGAGAGAGAGGGAGAGAAGCATCAGTTGGTTGCCTCCCATACATGCCCTAACTGGGGATCAAACTCACAACCTACGTATATGCCCTGGCCAAGGAACAAACCCGCAGCCTTTTGGTATATGGGAAAGTGTTCCAAGTAACAAAGCCACCCAGTCAGGACCCAAGCAATAATTTCTGTATGACTTTGGCTAGCATTTATGGCTGCAAGGAATCCTGGGAAGCCAACATGTCTCGGTTTGTTCACATGGGTAACAAAAGTTCGGGTAGCCTGCAAGGTGACCAGTCTTCCCTGTTTGCATGAGATGGAGGGATTCCTGGGATGCTGGACTTATCTCCTAAAACCAGAATATTTGGGGCAAACCCAATGAGTTTACCTTGCTGGTGAGATAGTGTAAAAACGTTTACTGCCATTCTGCAGTCATAACTAAAACACCAGCACCCAAAACAGAGTTCAGTACTTTTGTTACTTCTGACCAGAGCAAGAACCATAAAAGTCATTTCGGTGCAACTTCCCACATGTGCAGGAAGATTATGTCTTCTCCTGTTTCCAAAGTACTGAGACAGAAGTACAGTGTTTTGATCCATGCCCATCCCAAATGACAGTGAAGTTTAGGTTGTGTAGGGACAGCATAAAAGGCAGCAAATTCGCGGTATAGTCCAGATTTACAGGAAGAATTATTTCATTTACACTGAACAAGTGCAGCCTGTAGAAAGCTGATGGTACAACTGTTCATATGGACATTCACCTCAGCAAAGTAGTTATCATGAGACTAGAGCTAAACAAACAGGAGAAAGATCCTTGCCAAATAGGAAAAAAAAGAGCAAATGTTAAAAAAAAGAAAAGATGCTTATATACAGCTTTTCATAATGGGACTTCTGGCCAGGGTGGAGGCATAGATAGATCCACTTTTCCCCCCCTCACACAACCAAAAGGACAACGACGACAAATTTAAAACAAACAAACAGAACTGCCAGGAAATCAAACTGAGTGGAAGTCCAACAACCAAGGAGTTAAAGAAGAAACATTCGTGGAGATGGGCAGGTCGGGCAGAGAAGACCTGGATTTGCATCAGGGCGGTGGCTGGGAGAGCAGGTTGTCCCGCATTTGCATGTAGATGCACCAGGAAGACCAACTGGGGAGCAAGACAGGCTGCACAACCCAGGGTTCCAGCTCATGGAAATAAAGTCTCAAAACCTGACTTAAAAACCTGAGGGGGCTGTAGTGGCAGGAGAAACTCCCATCATAACAGGAGAGTTCATTGGAGAGACCCACAGAGTCCTATAACATACACAAACCCACCCACCTGGGAATCAGCACAAGAAGTGCCCATTTGCTTGTGGGTAGCAGGGGAAGTGACTGGAAGCCTGCAGAGAGCCAAGCAAGTGGCATTGCTCCCTCTCGGACCCCCTCCCCCACATACAGCACCACGACACTGCTATGTGGGTTGCCCAACTCTAGCTAATTCCTAAGGCTCCACCCCTTACTGTGTAACAGGCAGCAGAGACAAAAAAAAAATATGGCCCAAATGAAAGAACAGATCAAAACTCCAAAAACAGAATGAAGCGATGAAGAGACAACCTACCAGATGCAGAATTCAAAACACTGGTAATCAGAATGCTCACAGAAATGGTTGAGTGTGGTTGCAAAATACAGGAAGAAGGGAAGGGCATGAAAAGTGAAATGAAGGAAAATGTACAGGGAACCAACAGTGACGGGGAGGGAGGGAACTGGGACTCAAACCAACAATTTGGAGCATAAGGAAGAAATAAACATTCATCCAGAACAAAATGAAACAATTCGAAAAAAGTGAGAAGAGACTTAGGAACCTCAGGGACAATTTTAAACTTTCCAATATCCAAATCATAGGGGATCCAGAAGGAGAAAATGATCTTGAAAAATTATGGAGAACTTCCCCAATCTGGCAAGGAAACAGACTTTCAGAGAGTCCAGAAAGATCAGTGTCTGCCAAACAAATTGGACCCAAGGAAGCACACACCAAGACACATCATAACTATACTACCCAAAGTTGAAGATAAGGAGTGAATTTTAAAAGCAAGAGAAAAGGAGACAGTTACCTACAAAGAAGCTCCCATAAGACTGTCAGCTGACTTCTCAAAAGATACCTTGCAGGCAAGGAGTTGGAAAGTATTTGAAGTCATGGAAGGCAAGGACCGGTATCCAAGATTACTGTATGCAGCAAAGTTATCATTTGGAATGGAAAGGCAGATACAGTGCTTCCCCAATAAGGTGAAGTTAAAGGAGGTCATCTTCACCGAGGATATGAAATGTTAAAGGGACTTATCCAAGAAAATTGTGGTCAAAAATACAAACAGTAAAATAATAAACTCACAACTATCAACAACTGAACCTAATAGCAAAAACTAACCAAACAACTAGAATAGGAACAGAATCACAGAAATGGAGATCACATGGAGGGTTATCAGTGGGGAGGGGAGAATAAGGGAAAAGGTACAGGGAATGAGAAGCATAATTGGTAGGAACAAAATAGATAATAGGAGGTTAAGAACAGTACAGGAAATGGAGAAGCCAAAGAACTTACATGTATAACCCAAGGACAAGAACTAAGTAAGGGGGTAGGTGGGGAAATGCTGGTGGCATTAGGGGTACATCATGGAGGGGAGTAAGGGGGAGAAAAAAATGGAACAACAGTAAAATACATGTTAAATTTTTAAAGCCCTGACTGGTGTGGTTCAGAGTGAGTTGGGCGTTGTCTGAACAAAACAAAGGTCTCTGGTTCAATTCCTGGTCAGGGCACATGCCTGGATTATAGGCCAAAACCCCAGTTGGGGGTATGTAAAGGGCAGCCAATCAATGTTTCTCTCCCTTCCCCCCTCTTGTTTAATTCAGAAACAAAACTTCTGAATTAGCACTAATCATTTTATTTGCTTCCTAAAGTAAGCAGTGTTAATAAGAAGTGTGTATGGCAGTTCTTGAATTTATTTTTTAAATAGAAATCTTGTTTTCCATTCTCCAAATCGATCATTCATTAAAAGGATAGTATTGAGCACTGTTTATGCACCAAGCACTATGGAGAGGGCAGTGGGGGGAAGACCTGACCTCGTGGAACCCAAATTCCCAGGAAAGGACTTACAGTGAGAAAGACAGGTGGCACATTAGATGCAAGCACGCAGGAAGAGGAAAGAGGTGGTTTTTAAGGTTGATCTGTATTCATCGGTAATAATTTTATGGCTCATGATTCTTTTTTCATTAACAACTCTTCCTACTTTTTTATTAGACTTTCAAGGGTAGCAGAAGAGACTATAAAGGATTACTTTGAAGCACGCCTTGCTCTACTAGAACCAGTTTTTCCAATAGCATGTCATCGTCTTTGTGAGGGGCCAGATTTTTCAATGGATTTCAATTATAAACCCCCACAGAACATACCAGAAGGTAAGCATATGTTTTCCCTGAGTCTGAAATGTGACACTTAACTATTAACTAATTTTTAGATAGATCTCTTTCTATAAACAAACCTTTAAAAATTTCCAGCCCTGGCTGGTGTAGCTGTGGATTGAGTGCTAGTCTGTGAACCAAAGGGTTGCCAGTTTAATTTTCAGTGAGGTCACATGCCTGGGTTGTGGCCAAGGTCCCCAGTAGGGGGCGTGTGATAAGCAACCACACGTTGATCTTTCTCCAGCTGAAACCTACCATCTCATGTGACTTTGAAGGGTCCACAGAAAATGGTGTTAGAATTTGTTTAAAAAGTATGGAAGTTGGGTACTAGTTTTTTTAGATTCTGAGCCCCAAATCAATGTGTTTCCTGAATTTTTATTATTGCTAATAACCTTGCCTTTTTAAAAAGGAACAATAGATCTCTGCCCTTTAATAGCATGAATTATAAACTTCAGTTCTGCCTCCTGACTGTGCTTTCTCTAGGACACAGGAGCCACAAGCTTTCAGAAAGCGGAGTGTCTGCCTGAAAGTAGGCAACTGAGCTCTGGCTTTTTTGTTGTTTTGTTTAAATAAATAAAACCCTGCCACCCATTAAAAATGTATATGAGGTCTGTCCAGAATGTATTCAGCCATGTAATATGAAAAAGTGACATTTATTCAAGATACAAGAAACACTGCATTGATGATGCCTCAGTTCCCTTCAGAGGAGGCACCCTGGAACCTGACAGTTCTCCCAGTCACCATCAGCTGCCACATTGTGTTTTCCTGAATCTCATTGATGATCTCAGAAGTCACGGGGCACCAAATCTGGGCTCTACAGGGGCTGAGTCACCTGGGTGATTTAATGTTTCACAAAAAAACTGCACAAGATGTGGTATGTGAGTGGGTATATTGTTGTGACAAAGCTGCCAATCACTAGTTGCCCATAGCTCCAGTCTTCTGAATCATCCAAATAGTCTCTGCAGAGGAATGTTCAAGCTTAATGCAAAATTTGAACAAGTGCCTCAGTCATTTTGTTTGCAACAGCCACACAGTACACTGTGTGTGTGCACATGTACCGCCCCCACTGACTTGTATTTTTTAAATCTAGTCAAGACAGGCACTTGTAATTTTGGTGAACTTGGCATTGAGAGTCATGATTTGTAATCTTACTATTCAGGCAGACATTTCACATTATAAATCTGGAGAACAATCTTTACAGAAGAGGTATAAGGTGTGCTCTTTATCCCTGGAACCAAAAATAAATAAAACAAATTGTTCTTTATGGTCTTTTAGGAGAAAGTCTCCTCAACGTTAAAAATAGTTTACCCATAAAAGTAAGAGCTCATATAGCTATTTTGTTGTATTATTTAAAAGTATAGCTTTTCTTTCTTCAGAGTGGATCTTGCAGAACATTTTAAACATTCAATGACAGCTTCAATTCTCATGCTAACTTTTTTTTCCAAAATAAGTTTTGTTGTTAACAGTATGTGGAAGAAAATGGAAAATCACTCAAACCCACACCCAAACACAACCACCATAGAATGTCCAACGGTTTGTTTCCGTGGCTATTTATGCACTCAGCAAATGCCATTTTAATATAGAAAAGCAAGTTTTTTAAAGTCTGTTCCACAAGCTATCAATAGAACAAAAAATAAAAGTTTGGCAATTAAAGGGCTTCTCCACTGGGGAGGAGAAAGTGGGCAGAGGCTTGGGCACTTCCATATACCATACTGTGCTACCCCCAGCCCCCTTGGGCTCTAGGATTGGGTTAAACTCTGTGTTTTCATCTCCCTTGCTCAGGCTCTGGCATCCTGCTGTTCATTTTCCATGCAAACTTTTTGGGTAAAGATGTTATTGCTCGGCTCTGTGGACCATGTAGTGTACAAGCTGTAGTTTTAAATGATAAATTTCAACTACCTGTTTTTCTGGTAAGACTCATTGCTGAAAAGCACATTTTTTTAATTAAAAGGTAACTTTTAAAATGCTTTAAAAGTCTTAATTATAATTCAGTAAGCTTGTTGTTTGAAATGAGGCAATAACCAGTAATCATCCTAAATTTTGTCAAAAATCTTTCTAAATGTTTGATACCTGAACCTTAAATTGTTTATCATGTCTTAAAATTAACATTCAGAATATATATTCAATTTTAAATATTATGTCTTTTCTCATCATCATGATTATAAGCAATATTCACTTAACGGTAATTCAAAAAGAAAAATATGCCTGGTCATGTTAAATAATTTCATTCTTTTTTAATATATAAAACAGTCTTGGCCCTGACCATGTGGCTCAGTTGGTTTGAATGTCATTCAGTGCTTAAAAAGGTTGGCAGTTTGATCCTTAGGGTACCTACCTAGGTTTCTGGTTCGATCCCCAGTCCTTGGGTGTGGTCTTTTTTTTTAAATGCTCCTGAAGAACCTTCAGGCATAATTCCTTGGCCACATTTAGAAGTCTTTCCTTAAGCTGAATTAATAAGCAAAATTAAGTAGTTATGAAGACCTTTAACACTCAGGCTATATGACCAACACATTCTAATCCTAAATATTTGGATATTGTTTTGTCACCTATATCTTTTTAATAAATTAAAGGAAAAGCAAAGAAATCATAGCTTATTGCCTCATGAATGCAAATACAAAACTTGTCAAGTGCTAAAGGGTTCTAGTCTCTTTAGATAACATTGTACTATTAGACCTGGCCTGTTTATAGATGGACATGCTGGAAAAAATACTAACCCTTTTTTGGTCTTCTTCCCTAGGATAGTCATTTTGTTTACTCATTCAGCCCTGTTGCAGGCCTCAATAAACTCTTCATAAGGTTGACGGAAGCACCTACTGCTAAGGTGAGAAGCCTTTCCCCATATTTAGTGTTCTTACTTGCATTGTTGTTCTAGATGACTTTACCGTGTGGTTTCTTGGTATATATACCTGTCCTAGAGACCAGTGCTCCCTTAGGTAGCAGCCCGTGCGACATGCCCCTTTCTGAATCTAAAACATGATGGATATATGTATACATATATACCTATGTACTACATCTCTATAGTGTTAACAGAAGTTCAAATTAGATCATGACTATTTTAATTAAAACATTGAAATACCTATTTGATAACTGTGTAATTTGGGAATATAAGGGGAACTATGTTTGTGCTGATCCCTATGCCTTGTTTTCTTTTGATAGGTAAAACTGCTAATAGGTGCGTACAGAGTGCAGCTACAATGACCAAACAATGAATACAGGATGGACTGCTTTTCAAACCTGTGCATTGCTAAATACTCTCGTAGTATTTAGCAGTTTGGAATTCTTGGCACTGCTAATACTTCCAGATTTAAAGTTTCATCTACAAACCTCATGCAGTTTAAGTCTTTGAGAACAGTGTGTTCTATACATCATAAAATACAGAAATATACGTACTTTGTGCCAGTTTTCAATAATCATTATTGTGTCCAAACTGCATATTTCAGTTTTCCACAACGTGGAATGGTACATATGAGGGTTAGAAAATTTTTAGCTTGAAATTTTCTACTACCCCAGGTGAATCTGTGTCCCCAAATAGGAATTTGCCACACGTTCCTAGTTGGAGGTGACAACTTTGTATGTTTCCAGTTATCCCTTATTTGAAGAGAAAAGAACCTAAGAAACAGAAGAAAGTGTCCACCAAAACAAAGTGAGGATATTCCCTTTTAGGCCACTGAAAGGGAATATCCATACTTTAAACACTGGGATGGTCAGCTGAGCTATGCCAGTGAGGCTCACGTGGGGTGGTTGTTCCTATGGACTTTTTCATAGGTCCGACTTTTGCGCTCTTTTAAGAAATATTTGGCAAACTAATAAATCAAACTCAGTATGGACTATGGAAATGTAAAAAGTTTATTTCTTAGTTTTATAGTTGAGTTCTAATTTTAAATGTTTCAGAATATCAGACCCATACATTGTTTACGAATTGGGCAATTTTAGTATTTCCTCAAGGAAACACCACAGTGTCGGTCTTTAAATTTTCTTTTGATACCCACCTTGTAATGTGTAATTATAGTTTTTTAGCTAAGTGGTGACTGGGGTTGGACTCCTTCAATTAGACTGAATTTTGTACTAGTACTGTATGCAAATTCATAGCTTTCTAGACAAAAGTTAATGAGGTTTGGGTTAGCAGCAGTGCACAGAAAAGGAACATTAAAGGGGACAGCAGTACATATAAGAGAAATGGGCTTTTTTAAGAAAATTTCCATTATGTCCAAATCCTACCCTAAGATAATCCTACAACCTTACAAGAATATATTAAATGAGAATACACTATTCTGGTATCTGGTAGAAAACAGATAGGGAATCTGAGCACAATTCCTTTAGGAGTTGAGACAGAGAAATAAAGTTCTGTAAAGTCAGAAAGGGCAGAATGTGAAAATGGACAAGTTATTTTAACAAACAGGGAACATAAAGGTTTAAGATCACTAAAATCTAGGCTGTGTCAGCTTCTACCCACCTTGTAACAGGTATGCTAGTAAACTGTAAGCTGTGTTTAATACTGCTATTTTGCTCAGAACTATAGCTTCTCTATAGCAGGTGAAATACTCGTCCAACTCAGGGATACTTGTCCAACTTCAGGTAAAATACTTGTCCCTGAGTTGGAAGTGCTGAAAGTTCTGGTTTCTTATACTTCCATGTACTAAGTGTGGACAGTGATTTCTGTGGAAATCCTTGTATAAATATGTATGATACAGAACACATACCTGAACTTAATCATCTTGGACACAAGTGAGCTCACGACTAAGCCAGTCATGACAAATTCAAGATGCAATACACTGTGGCCTGACTCCCTGAAAAACAGTTAGTTCACAGTTTCTTACTTCAGTTTTATCTTTAAAAAGAAAAAGAAAAATCACTCCTTAGCCATTACTCCTTTCCAGTAATATCATACTTAAGGACATATACTCAACTTATTACTCAATTAGATTAACTTCCTGACTGCACCCTTCAGATGACTGTGGCTATGAACAGCACATTACATTCTCTCGTTTGTAATACCTCATACCAAAAAGAAGTACCTCATAACACTCACTAAATGATGAACTACAATTAGATGGGGGTTTGGTTTCAGTCCAGGAACATGAAATTTTTCAGTTTCATACATATCTTTTCAAATCACTCATCTGAATTCTAAATTTGTAGAATTTATTCAGTGGATTGTCAGGGGGTAGCAATTTGAAACTCAGGTGCTGCTTTGAGAACTTACCGTGAGACGCCCTCAGAAAGCATTTATCACGGAAGTCCAGTCTTTGAGTAAAATGTGAGAAACAGAAACCTACAAGGAGACTGCTCAGCACAGAGCAGGGAAGCAGAACACACGAAGTAGGGCAAAAGTAGGTTTATCACTAGTGGTTCACAGTGGAAATGATATAGTAAGTAATAATTAGTAATACAAATAAACTAGCAACTGAAACATGCTTTTGCTCAGCACTGCATACACCAAAATAGCAGAGAGTGACTTAGGAAATTAGAACTCTGAGAATTTGAATTTTCATACAGTTAATATTGCAGAGCATAATACTGGTAAAATCCTGGAGTTAAAGTTCTAAAACTTTGCTCAGTTCAGAAGATGAGTGATGGAATCCATCCTGCTTCCTCCACGCTGTGCTGACCTGAAGATACAATGCACCTTTCCCACCCAGTCTGGGATCTCTAGGCCTGTCTTTTTGCTCTCCATACACAGGAGCCCTACTAGTAATTAGAAATTATAATGACAGTGAGGGTTCACAATTCAGTCAGGAACAAATTAAAACAAAACTAGGAAATAGTTATCTGTCCATAACCCAGAGTTCCCACAGGACCCCTAGTTGGAATCTAAACCTAATATCTGGCATCATTTCAACTTGTAAGAATATAATTTCCATTACTCTGTAACATGTTATCTCTGCCTTACTCATATGACCCATTATTTACTTTCCTTGGGCCAAGATACATGCTTTATAATAAGAATACAGTTTTTCTCACAACAGTGCCAAATTTCACGAGTGGTCTGACCAAAATTAGAGATCACGTGGGATGATGACAGTCCCTCCAGTGGTTCACTGTTATTTGTAGGCTGCTACCCTAGCTTTCCAAGATTGACCAGCAAGACCAAAGAGTAGGTACACATCTTTAAAATAAAATGAACTGGAATAAAACAAACAATGAAAAATGTAGTTTATGCTATTCCAGATATCTTTTAACCTGTAGTTGTAACTGCTCATATATCCATACATTGCTTATATGGAGTAATAAACTCACAAATGAAATACAATTGGTTTTCTGACTTTTTTCCTCCTGTGTCATTATAAGCATTTTGTTAATAAAGAAAACAATCCACTAAGTTAAGAGCAGCAGATCCAAAAATATTCATAAACTGAATCAGTCTATATGAACTATAAAAATGTCCTTCAGTAATTCACTTCTAGAACTGGCATTTTGTTGTGAGCTTATATACAGATTAAGGTACCTGAATGGGTAAATATGTTACTAATAAAGAGCAATGGTTCCCAAACAGAGCTGCCCCACTAAGTAGAAATGAGGACACTCAGGCAGAAATCACACACAGGTTGGCGGGGTTTGCTCTTACAAGCCCTCCAGTGGCCTACCCCACACCTCTTAAGTGTGAGAACCACTCTTTCAAAGGATAACCTGAAAATGAAGTGATTATTTTAGTAAGATTTTTGAATGCGCATAGTACCATGTCACTTCCTTTTGTGAGAATTAAATGAGTATTTGGTGTTAATTTAATATTCACAAGGTTGATGAAACTTACTATCTTCCTGGAACAAATGTATTGTTTCACTAACAAATAAAAATGCATAAGAAAAAGCAGTTACTATAAATTACCAGTATTCACTTTTCTTAAAACAAAATTAACTTCAAAATCGTAAAGTTCCAAAGACATTCACTTGACAAGCTAATAAAGCTCTCTGACAATGCCACAGCTTTGGACTGTAGCACATTTAGATTTTTTTTCTTCTGTACATATATAGGTCAGTGGTTCTAGTAGAAAACCAGATTTATTAGAGGGCTTAAAAACATTTTTTAAAAACACATTGCTAGCCCTGGCTGGTGTAGCTCAGTGGATTGAGAATGGGCCTGTGAAGCAAGGGGTGGCCGGTTCGATTCCCAGTCAGGGCACATGTCTGGGTTGCAGGTTAGGTCCCCAGTAGGAAACACATGAGAGGCAACCACACACTGATGTTTCTCTCCCACTCTTTCTCCTTCCCTTACCCTCTCTCTAAAAAACAACAAAAAACAGAACAAAAAACACATTGCTAGATCCCACTCTAAGAGTTTGTTTTCTTAAGTTCCCACACTATAATGACACTAGGAATTAGCTTAGAGAATCACTGCCAAATGTTAATTTACTAGAGCTGTCATATTTCAGCTCTATCCAACATGAGGTGTTGGATACTTTAAAGGTCAAATTTCTCAAAGGTAATGTATGCATACATCAATGCTCCTTAGTCTCATGCCAATCCCAAGTCTTGTTGAAACGGGCAGTCTGACTCAGTCTGCTGTGTGTCCTGGGACTCAGCACTTCTGAGAAGCTTAGTATGCTCACACTCCTGGTTTGAGGCCACACCTGTAGTAGCAAGAAGAGAATGGAATTTGTCATCAACCAATAAGGAATACACTTAATACTTTCTGGATCTATCAGGATGACAATATACCGTCATCCGAATTCTGTCAAAAAGACCACAGAATAAATGTTACCATAACATTTTGTGTCTACTAACTTAGCAAAATAATACAAAAACTGTTACTCTCTACGAAAGCTGCAAAGCAGCAAGGAAGAAGTTTACCTACTATCCCCCTAGCATCGATCAGATTTTATGATATTAAACCATTTTAAGATTACAGTCTCCAAATGAATGTAAAACTAAAATTTAAGGCTTCAGATCACTGATCATAAGAAGGATTTTTTTTTCCTTTAGTAAATAACATGTTTAATATATCAATTCTCAAAATAGTTTTACCTAAACACAAAACACATTACTGCCAGTAAGGAAAGACAAGGGCAATTTAGATCTAAAATTAACCTCCAACCTTGTTCAAACAATGTTCATCACTAAGTCCACAGTCAGCACCAGGAAAAATGACTAAAGAAAGGAAGAAGGAGCCCTGGCTGGTGTAGTTCAGTGGATTGAGTGCTGGCCTATGAACCCTAAAGGTCACGGTTTGATTCCCAGTCAGGTCACAAGCCTGGATTGCCGGCCAGGTCCCCAGCTGGTGGCGTGCAAGAGGCAACAATCACTGTATCTCCCACATATCAATGTTTCTTTCTCCCTCCCTTACCCTCTCTAAAATAGGTAGAATCTTAAGGAAGGAAAGAATGAGCCATTACAACACACACCTACCTGAAAGGAAACAACTCCAGTACATCTTCAACTCTAAACTTGATTTGTGCTGGACGTCAAATTTCAGGTAG